TTCTGGTGTCCTTTGACAGCTCTTTGGTCTTGGCCATAGTGGAGTTTGGAGTGTGACTGTTTGAGGTTGTGGACAGGTGTCTTTTATACTGATAACAAGTTCAAACAGGTGCCATTAATACAGGTAATGAGTGGAGGACAGAGGAGCCTCTTAGAGAAGAAGTTACAGGTCTGTGAGAGCCAGAAATCTTGCTTGTTTGTAGGTGACCAAATACTTATTTTCCACCATAATTTGCAAATAAATTCATAAAAAATCCTACAATGTGATTTTCTGGATTTCTTTTCCTCAATTTGTCTGTCATAGTTGACGTGTACCTATGATGAAAATTACAGGCATCTCTCATCTTTTTAAGTGGGAGAACTTGCACAATTGGTGGCTGACTAAATACTTTTTCTCCCCACTGTATACAGCTCGTCGAGTGCGGTCTTGGTGCCAGCATCGGTTTGTGGTGGTAAATAGACAGCTGCAAAAAATATAGATAAACTCTCTTGGTAAATAGTATGGTCTAAAGGTTATTCTAACTCAGGCGAGTAGAACCTCCTGACTTCCTTCATATTAGAGATCACACACCAGCTGTAGTTAACAAAGAGACACACACCACCCCCCTTGAGCTTACCTGAGGCTGCCGTTCGGTCCTGCCAATGCATAGAAAAACCAGCTAGATGTATATTATCCATTTCCTTGTTCAGCCACGACTCCGAGTAACACAGGATATTACAGTTCTTCAGGTCCCGTTGATAGGATAGTCTTGAATGGAGCTCGTCCAGTTTGTTCTCCAGTGATTGTACGTTGGCCAATAGAACGGAGGGTTTATTTACTCTCCGACGTAGTTTCATCAGGATGTCCGCACGTCTTCCTTTTCTGAGTTGTGCCAGTAACCCAAAAGGTCGCTGGTTCTAATCCCCGAGCCGACTAGGTGAAAAATCTGTCGATGTTACCTTGAGCAAGGCACTTAACCCTAATTGCTCCTGTAAGTCGCTCTGGATAAGAGTGTCTGCTAAATGACTAAAATGTAAATGTAAAAATGTGAGAAGTATGTCGTGCGCCGCCGACTCGTTGAAGTAGAAATCTTTGAGGGGGGTGTGTGTGTTGAGGACAGTCATTAGTGTTGGGAGAGTGATGCAGCAGGCAGTCATGACAAGTGATGTGAGAACAAAGGACTAATCAACTAGCACTAGCTAGCTAAATATTTCTCCCTCATAATTCTTGTTTGCCTCATTTGTTGTATCCTGACCGCCCCCCAGTCCTACCAATCATTACTAGAGCCAACACAGCAAGGGAGAGAAACTGATAAATAATCATCCAACAGTTAGAGAGAGGGAGAGAGGATCGAAAGATGTGCTTTCTCACTGGGTATGTAGCCAGGGCTAGTCGCCCTGAGGACTATAAAAAAAACGATGTCTGGGAAATTCCACAAATTAACTTTTAACAAGGCACACCTGTTAATTGAAATCCATTCTAGGTGACTACCTCATGAAGCTGGTTGCGAGAATGCCAAGAGTGTGCAAAGCTGTCATTAAGGCAAAGGGTGGCTACTTTGAATAATCTAAAATCTAAAATATATTTTGATTTGTTTAACACTTTTTTGGTTACTACATGATTCCATATGTGTTATTTCATAGTTTTGATGTCTTCACTATTATTATACAATGTATAAAATAGTAAAAATAAAGAAAAACCCTTGAATGAGTAGGTGTGTCCAAACTTTTGACTGGTACTGTATATATATATATATATATATATATATATATATATATATATATATATGTGTATGTATGTATGTGTGTGTGTGAATATTATTTATTTATTTAGTTTTCATTGTTGGACATCAAAGACTATAAAAACACCAGGAAATCAGCTCCAAGTGATTTTAATTTAAGAAATCTGTTCCCAAGTATTCCCACGCATAATAGAGAGACATGTGATTGTATACAAATGTAAGCAAGGTTTGAAATGATTATGTTTTAGTCAAACATTATATCTGTTTGGCCTTCTTGCAGTCAATTTGCAGTTTACTAATTATTTGTAATTATAAACTGTGTGGTTCGAGCCCCGAATGCTGATTGGCTGACAGGTATGACAAAACATTTATTTTTACTGCTCTAATTACGTTGATAACCAGGTTATAATAGAAATAAGGCACCTCGGGAGTTTGTGGTATATGGCCAATATACCACAGCTAAGGGCTGTATCCAGGCACTCCGCGTTGCGGCGTGCATAAGAACAGCCCTTAGCCGTGGTATATTGGCCATGTACCACACCCCCCTCGGGCCTTATTGCTTAATTATGTTCCGGCACCCCGACCATCCGCTCAAGAAGAAATCGACCCGTGGCTAAATCTAGTTGATGATCCCTGCAATATAACCTGGGCTGCCTACACTTTTACATGTAGGCTAATTATTTATATACATTTATGCAAAAATGATTTAAATATTATTCCAATGTTGGCCTTTTTAGAGGCAATTCATTTTTTTCTGGCTCAGTTGACAGCCCCATTTATTTATTTTCAGTAGTAGGCTGTACTCTTATTAGAATTTTAAATCACTTTGAATGACCTAGTTCCTAGATTAGACCCATGTTGCCATATCAAAGCATTTAATTATTTATTTAAAAAAAATTGAGATGGTTCATCCTTGGTTTGGGGTGGATTAAATTGCACTTCAGGACGATTCTGGGACGGCGATGAAAAAAAGTGAGTCTCGAGCCATGCTAGCTAACACAGCCAGAAAGTTGAAGTCAGAGGAGAGAGAGAGAGAGAGAGAGAGAGAGAGAGAGAGAGAGAGAGAGAGAGAGAGAGAGAGAGAGAGAGAGAGAGAGAGAGAGAGAGAGAGAGAGAGAGAGAGAGAGAGACGAGAGAGAGAGAGAGAAGAGAGAGAGAGAGAGCGGAGAGAGAGAGAGAGAGAGAGAGAGAGAGAGAGAGATGAGCAATGTGACTTGTATTAACACTATTTCACAATGTTTAACATTGTGTTAACACCATTTCACAATAATGTTTTCTGGAGAAAAAAATAAACATGTCTTAACCATTCACTATCAATCACTTCTATAGTTCAGATTAAATCACTTGTGTGATGAACCAATAACAAAAAGAGAAATGCAGAGAACAAGGTAAAACATTTTTACTAGTTGTATTTAGATTGTCATTATGGAGAAACCTATTGGATACATTTGGCAACTCCTCTCTTGCTGCTAAATCATTTTTGGGGGCTCGTTTTCAGGCCTTGACCAGGTGGGACAGTAGGAGGGGATATGGAATTCAAAGATGAACTGTCAATGGTTTATTACAATCAGACTTCCGGGTGACGTTATACGGTGGCCAAAAACACCAACCCACCTGAACAGGCTGAAAGTCCAGGCGTTTTATTCAAACAGCTCTTACACAAAAGGGGCATTATCATAATTTTCACAATTGTCAGTGTTATTTCGACCTCACTGTGGAAATCTCATTACAAAAAAACTGGTTTTTAGACGTTTTAAACTGCACTGCCCCTTCAAGGTAAGGGTTAGCTAGGTAAGGGCTAAGGTTAGGGTTAGGGTAAGGTTTAAGGATAGGGTATAGGGTAGGATTCAAAATAGCACTAACCATTTAAGAAGTGCAAAAGTACAATCAATTATTTGATATAAGTAATACAGCTATTTGAATCCATTGACATACAAATCGCATTGATTTATGTGCAAGACCAGGAAATTAGCAAAGTTCCTAAATACAAAAGAAAGAAAAGGTCTGTGTTGGAGCAGATCACCGCCTTTCAAAGTGGGTTGCATTTTTGGGAACCATTTTGGGGAGACCATTTTGGGGAACCATTTTGGGGAGACCATTTTGGGGATACCATTTTGGGGATACAATTTTTCCGACTTAGGTCTACATGTCCACTGCATGAACTTTACAAAAATAATGTGGTCAAAGTTTTGACAACAGTGGACTGCAAGATCCTGCAGCCATCACCTGCATTGTGGGAGGCTCTATTGTCAACCAATCATTAGGGTGTTTTTGTTTGACCCACACGAACCTCACCAAAGACGTAACTGAAACAGGAACCATTTTGCTCCAATTCAGATGCACCTCCCCCGACTTCACTCCTCGACTTTTGTCTAGTCGGTTGCTTTAGCCTTAAGCTTCGATCACACCGACAGTGTTTGCATTTTGGTACACCAGAAGTACATTCATTTCCAATGGGACGCTGCGTTTGCCTTGCAGCATTGCGTTGCAGAGGCAGTTGCTGTGCGTTCTGTGTGGTGCCAACGTTGGATTTATCGAACGTATGCGTCAAACTGTCTGCCGTAGACTGCTTGACAGAAATGGTAGCAGAAGGTGAATGTGGAACTTTTGTTGCACACATATCCAGATAATGCTGCGCAACATTGTGCAGCAAAACACTTTCGGTGTGATCAAGGCGTTACTACTCAAATCCGCCACAACACGTTATAAATTCAGTGAAGGATATTATGGGAGGAGCTTAGTGGGACACTGGATTATTATAACATCCGACTTCAGTGCGTTCAAGACAAATGGGAACTCTGAAAAAAAACTAGCTCTGACTGGGCTTGACCTCGTTTTTTTTCAGAGTTCTCAGTTGTCTTGAAAGCACCATAGATACATCCGGGAAGATATTAGCTGATGTACGAAGGGCTATATAAAATAAAATTGATTGATTGATTGATTGATTGAATTGGCAACGTCACTAAAATTCATAACATTGAGAAAGGACAAAAAGTTTTGGGCAATTTTTATTTATTTAGATAACTAGTAGCGAACATTTGCTACTCTCATCTAAAATGAGCTAGCTAGCTAGCATAAGGGATTCCATTCCAAGTAGAGAGGAGTTATTCTATTTGATAGAGCAACGTTGTTGTTTCCCTAAAAGCCTTTCATTCTAATAGTAATATATCATATTCTTGACCTTCAACAGATGCACATCCTTTAGCAGGAAAACAAACTCAGCTGGGAGAGTAAAAGTCTCCCATTCAATGGTGTTCCGTTTCAAGTTGTGGGCACAAAGATGTGTGAATGCCACCAGGGGAAAGACAGGCAAACAAAAGCCAAAGAGAAATACGCTGCTGAAATGAACAAGAAGGCAGTAAGTTATAAGACGGGTCACTGTAATTTATACCATGCACTTTTTACAAGATTCATTTCATTTTTTGTGTCCCCTTTTTCTCCCCAATTTCGTGATCACGATCTTGTAAAATGGTGGCACTGTAGAGCCCTGCCTTTACCTAGTAGCCCTGCCTTTACCTAGTAGCCTAGCCAACCTCTCCTCCCCTCCCTGTGATGTCAATATGGTGTTTAGTTAAACCTCGTTCACACAACATACCCTGGGAATGAGTGACATCTTTCAACAGTAGTGTTGGGTCTCAACATTTTTACAGATTTCAAACTGACCATAAAAAAAGAAGCATTGTTATTATTTTTAGTAATTTTACCCCCCTTTTTCTCCCCAATTTTGTGATATCCAATTGCGATCCAATTACGATCTTGTCTCATCGCTGCATCTCCCCAACGGGCTCGGGAGAGGCGAAGGTTGAGCCATGCGTCTTCTGAAACATGACCTGCCAAACCGCGCCTCTTAACACCTGCCAGCTTAACCCGGAGGCCAGCCACACCACACTCAGGAAATATATATATATTTATTTTTTACAGATATTTAACCCCTTTTTTTTTTGGTAGGCACAAAACTACCTTCATACTTCCATTAATAATAAAATAAACGGTACTGGTTACCTTCAGACGAGTCCTGTGACACTTGTGGGGATCGTAGAGCAAAACGGAGAGCACCATCATGTTGGTGAGAGTGTCCCCTTTTATATAGAGTGGTCGAACCGTTTGGACACTAAAGACGTTTTCGTGAGAAGACCAATTTTCGGGATGTCTCATGGTCTGACAAACACCTCTCTAGCTCTGCCACCTTTCACATCAGATGAGGAAGTGCGACATTGGCGGCTGCAGTGGATTGAGACTCATCCAATGCAAAAAAACAGACCTCTCTAGCTTAAACTGACGGATTTTGATGGGGATTTTTGTATTATGTTACCTAGATTGACACACCGGTGCGTCAATCGATGCTAGGGGATTAAACGGGTGTCCCAACTCTGTGGTCACTAAAGATCCCATGGCACTTATTGCAAGAGTATGTAATGATGAGTACCATTTGATGTGTAATGTGTATATCAAACTGTATTCCTATAATTTAATACCGTGTATAAAAGTACCATGTAAAGTGTATGAATAATGTATACAGTGCCTTCGGAAAGTATTCAGACCTCTTGAATTTTTCCACATTTTGTTTACGTTACAGCCTTATTCTAAAATGGATTGATTGTTTTTTCCCCTCATCAATCTACACACAATACCCCATAATGACAAAGCAAAAACTGGTTTTTAGAATTTTTGCTAATGTATTAAATAAAATAAACGGAAATATCACATTTACATAAGTATTCAGACCCTTTACTCAGTACTTTGTTGAAGCATCTTTGGCAGCGATTACAGCATTGAGTCTTCTGGGGTATGACGCTACAAGCTTGGCACACCTGTATTTGGGGAGTTTCTCGCATTCTTCTCTGCAGATCCTCTCAAGCTCTGTCAGGTTGGATGGGGAGCGTTGCTGCACAGCTATAGATGTTCAATCGGGTTCAAGTCCGGGCTCTGGCTGGGCCACTCAAGGCCATTCAGAGACTTGTCCCGAAGCCACTCCTGCGTTGTCTTGGCTGTGTGCTTAGGGTCGTTGTCCCGTGGGAAGGTGAACTTTCGCCCCAGTCTGAGGTCCTGAGCGCTCTGGAGCAGGTTTTCATCAAGGATCTCTCTGTACTTTGCTCCGTTCATCTTTTCCTCCATCCTTACTAGTCTCCCAGTCCCTGCCGCTGAAAAACATACCCACAGCATGATGCTGCCACCGCCATGCTTCACGGTAGGGATGGTGCCAGGTTTCCTCCAGACGTGACGCTTGGCATTCAGGCCAAAGAGTTCAATCTTGGTTTCATCAGACCAGAGAATCTAATGGTCTGAGAGTCTTTAGGTGCCTTTTGGCAAACTCCAAGCAGGCTGTCATGTGCCTTTTACTGAGGAGTGGCCTACGTCTGGCCACTCTACCATAAAGGCCTGATTGGTGGAGTGCTGCAGAGATGGTTGTCCTTCTGGAAGGTTCTCCCATCTCCACAGAGGAACTCTAGAGCTCTGTCAGAGTGACCATCGGGTTCTTGGTCACCTCCCTGACCAAGGCCCTTCTCCCCCGATTGCTTAGTTTGGCCGGGCGCCAGCTCTAGGAAGAGTCTTGGTGGTTCCAAACTTCTTCCATTTAAGAATGATGGAGGCCACTGTGTTCTTGGGGACCTTCAATGCTGCAGAATCTTTTTTGGTACCGTTCCCCAGATCTGTGCCTCAACATAATCCTGTCTCAGAGCTCTACGGACAATTCTTTCAACCTCATGGATTGGTTTTAGCTCTGATATGCACTATCAACTGTGGGACCTTATATATACAGGTGTGTGCCTTTCCAAATCATGTCCAATCAATTGAATTTACCACAGGTGGAGTCCAAGTTGTAGAAACATCTCAAGGATGATCAATGGAAACAGGATGCACCGGAGCTCAATTTAGAGTCTCATAGCAAAGGGTCTAAATACTTATGTAAATAAGGTATTTCTGTTTGAAATGTTTTATACATTTGCAATAATTTCGAAAACCTATTTTTTTTTGCTTTTTCATTATGGAGTATTGTGTGTACAGTGGGGAAAAAAAGTATTTAGTCAGCCACCAATTGTGCAAGTTCTCCCACTTAAAAAGATGAGAGAGGCCTGTAATTTTCATCATAGGTACACGTCAACTATGACAGACAAATTTAGAAAACAAAATCCAGAAAATCACATTGTAGGATTTTTTATGAATTTATTTGCAAATTATGGTGGAAAATAAGTATTTGGTCACCTACAAACAAGCAAGATTTCTGGCTCTCACAGACCTGTAACTTCTTCTTTAAGAGGCTCCTCTGTCCTCCACTCGTTACCTGTATTAATGGCACCTGTTTGAACTTGTTATCAGTATAAAAGACACCTGTCCACAACCTCAAACAGTCACACTCCAAACTCCACTATGGCCAAGACCAAAGAGCTGTCAAAGGACACCAGAAACAAAATTGTAGACCTGCACCAGGCTGGGAAGACTGAATCTGCAATAGGTAAGCAGCTTGGTTTGAAGAAATCAACTGTGGGAGCAATTATTAGGAAATGGAAGACATACAAGACCACTGATAATCTCCCTCGATCTGAGGCTCCACGCAAGATCTCACCCCGTGGGGTCAAAATGATCACAAGAACGGTGAGCAAAAATCCCAGAACCACACGGGGGGACCTAGTGAATGACCTGCAGAGAGCTGGGACCAAAGTAACAAAGCCTACCATCAGTAACACACTACGCCGCCAGGGACTCAAATCCTGCTGCGCCAGACGTGTCCCCCTGCTTAAGCCAGTACATGTCCAGGCCCATCTGAAGTGTGCTAGAGTGCATTTGGATGATCCAGAAGAGGATTGGGAGAATGTCATATGGTCAGATGAAACCAAAATAGAACTTTTTGGTAAAAACTCAACTCGTCGTGTTTGGAGGACAAAGAATGCTGAGTTGCATCCAAAGAACACCATACCTACTGTGAAGCATGGGGGTGGAAACATCATGCTTTGGGGCTGTTTTTCTGCAAAGGGACCAGGACGACTGATCCGTGTAAAGGAAAGAATGAATGGGGCCATGTATCGTGAATTTTTAAGTGAAAACCTCCTTCCATCAGCAAGGGCATTGAAGATGAAACGTGGCTGGGTCTTTCAGCATGACAATGATCCCAAACACACCGCCTGGGCAACGAAGGAGTTTTAAATCTTAAAAGTCCCAGAAAATTATATAAAAGGGCAGTTTTTCAAAATGGAATATTAATCATCCTCATGATGCAAATACAAAAAACTGTATGAAAATAAAATAAAACGATTTTCTAATATGATATTTCAACAACTATTAAAACAAAGTAGAATTCCAAATAGTTAAAAGATGTAGAAAGTCATCCATTAATGTTATATAACGTCAACACAAACTAAGTACTGGTTAAAGCAGTAGTAAATAACTCATTTTCATTTCCTGTTGAAAAACGTTTTGCTATGGTGTGCAATATACCCACACGACACTGGTGTGCTCAATCTACGTCTTCTACAGCTACATTTCTTTTCCCAGCGGTCCTGGGTCTCCCTCTGGGTCTTGCCTTATCTCTCCCTCTCCTCTTCCTCTTCCTCAGCTTGTGGTACTCTCCTCTTCCTCAGCTTGTGGTACTCTCCTCTTCCTCAGCTTGTGGTACTCTCCTCTTCCTCAGCTTGTGGTACTCTCCTCCTCCTCAGCTTGTGGTACTCTCCTCAGGGCCATGATAGCGTTGGACGTGGTTCTTCAGACTGACATTGTGATTGAAGCATTTCTCACACTGCTGGCACTTGAAGGGCCTCTCCCCTGTGTGGAGGCGCATGTGGGACTTGAGGTGGCTCGCTTGGTTGAAGGACTGTTGGCAGACCTGGCACATGTGGGGCTTCTGCCTTGTGTGAATAATCATGTGCCTCTCCAGATGGTTTTTGTTAGAAAATTCTTTGTAACAAGTGTGGCAGATGTTTCTATTCAGATGGCTGTGGGTTCGTAGGTGGCTGTTCCTTGCCATTAGGTCATCAAATCTTTGGGAGCATTCTGAGCACTGGTAGGGAGAGTTCTCATCCTGATGTCTTGCCTCGTGTGTCAGTTTGTCCGACCTGGTTTTGAATGGCTGCAGGCAGAACTTACAGGGGTAAACATGGGCAGGGTGGTGGAGGCGCCTGTGGATCTTGATACCCATTTCAGTCCTACAGCGCTTACCACAGTCTACACAGCGGAATTTCTTGATCTTGTGCTCACACGAATGGTCCTTCTTGTGAGGAAAGATGCCGCAGTCTGTACAGAGCAACCAATGAGGTTTTGTGTTGTGTTCACGTCGTACATGTTCCTTGAAGCTGGCCGGGTCCTCGAAGCGCATGTAGAATTGGTCAAATCCAACAGCTTGTTGGACCTCACTCACACACACACCACAGGCGTACAGCTTCTTATGGCGCTGTGTGGTGCAGGCGAGTACAGGCTCGGCTCCACAGTCAGTGCACCACTCCACAAGTCTCTCTTCTTTCTCTATTCCGGTCTGACAATTATCAATGTTGGCCTCTTCTGTTAGACCAGAGGAACCTGCCGTTTCCAAATCCTCAGAAGAATCAGAGTCCATTACAATGTCTTCCTCATCAGACGGCTCCCACTCGGTCTCATCTGATCTCTCCTGCTTATTCAGCTTCTTGGGCTTTTCGTCCTCCTCACTCTCCTCGTCCGAGGACCGACCATCATGTTCACACAACTCCTCAGTGATTTCCATAGTCAAGCAAATGTTCTCCAGGTCCGGGTCTCTGTCTTCACATGGCTGGAACAATGCCCCTCCAACCGCCTTAGGAAAGGAAAACAAATACAACTATTATGGATTACAGGCATGTCTGCATCTTGTTCAGAATGTTGTGTGCAGAGTTTGCATTTCATCGTACTGTGTACACTACACTGTATCCCGTGCATTTGTGTGGTAGTGTCACGGAGGTAAATGACTAAATGACCCACCTCTTCATTCAATCCACAGGTTTCCTGGGCAAAAGAGGGCTGGCTCATCCACTTCCTGTGGTGACTGCAGAACGGGCACGTCTGAACGACAGAGAAGCAACCCAGTTCATCCTCGATCCTGGCATCACAGTCGCAGCCACACCTCTCACAGAGTATGAAGAGCTGCAGCAGACAGTCTCTGTTCACACACACATCTGCCCTCCTGTGGGTGGAGGGGAAGCAACGTGGAGGGGTTTTAAAATCCTACCGCAATCTTACAATCTCCACACTAAACACTTTCAAAAATGGACAGTCAATGACCAAATACATCTGGGCTGTAGGATTGTTAAGTGACAATAAGAAAGAAGTCGTGGGATTATTTGAACGTACTCAGGTGTGATGTCAATGCTGGTTCCAGAATCCTGGACACGTGGGCGCGTCAGAACACCTGTGGACATTCACATTGGAACATCAATGACATTCTATGAGACAGAAATTCTACCGGTCTTCATTGTCATTCTCACTGGAAAACTAAGTGGGATCGTCACGCCCATTTTACCACCTTTGCTTGAAGTGGAATGAAAAAAGATGCCTGTACAATTTCACCCGTGTTCATATTTTAGAAAAATATGAAGTGAGATAAGATCGGTGGAAGGAAGGCAGGTAGAATCCAAAAAGAAGACAAGACGGTGACCAGTACGATGCAGAAAACGTTTAGTTAACTATTCAAAGATATTTGCAAAAAATATATACAAGACAGAAAAACATGAAGAAAACGTGAGTGCTGTTTACCACTGACAAGAATGTGGATAATGCTGAGTTACTTTATACTGACCTTTATTCTTCCTCCCTGGCAATATTGGAGCCACCTGTATAGGTACATCTGTGATCACTTTTCATTGTAAAGACATCCCAGTAAACATGTCAACTGCTGCGTCCCAAATGGCACCCTTTATAGTGCCCAGAGGACTCTGGTCAAAAGTATTGCCCTATATAGGGTGCCATTTGGAACGCATAAACATGACCTCAAACAGGGATGGCAACATCCATCAGTTCCTACAGTAATGAGGTAGGGCTAGGTTATGTGTTATATTAAACAGTAACTAATGTAGTGGCTGATATGGCACCGACTCACCTCTGGAGTGATGAGAGCTTCAATACTCTTCAGATACTGTAAAGAAAATACAAAGTTATGATTAAATAATCATCATAGAATGTATTGGCCGACTCCCTGGGTGTGAGCTGACAAGACAGTCTGGGCCCGGTTTCCCGATAGCGATGGAACGTAGGCTTACGAGGTAGGCCTGATCACCGACAACGATGAGACAGCCTATAGGGAGGATGTCAGAGACCTGGCCATGTGGTGCCAGGATAACAACCTCTCCCTCAACGTGATCAAGACAAAGGAGATGATTGTGGACTACAGGGGGAAAAAAAGAGGACTGAGCACGCCCCCATTCTCATCGACGGGGCTGTAGTGGAACAGGTTGAGAGCTTCAAGTTCCTTGGTGGCCACATCACCAACGAACTATCATGGTCCAAACACACCAAGACAGTCGTGAAGAGGGCACGACAAAGCCTATTCCCCCTCAGGAGACTGAAAAGATTTGGCATGGGTCCTCAGATCCTCAAAAAGTTCTACAGCTGCACCATTGAGAGCATCCTGACTGGTTGCATTACCGCCTGGTATAGCAACTGCTCTGTATCCGACCGCAAGGCACTACAGAGGGTAGTGCGTATTGCCCAGTACATCACTGGGGCCAAGCTTCCTGCCATCCAGGACCTCTATACCAGGCGGTGTCAGAGGAAGGCCCTAAAAATTCCAGCCATCCTAGTCATAGACTGTTCTCTCTGCTACCGCACGGCAAGTGGTACCGGAGCGCCAAGTCTAGGTCCAAAAGGCTTCTTAACAGTTTCTACCCCCAAGCCATAAGACTCTTGAACAGCTAATCATGGCTACCAGGAATATTTGCATGCCCCCCCCCAACCCCCTCTTTTACACTGCTGCTACTCTGTTTATTATGTATGCATACTTACTGTAACTCTACCCACATGTACATATTACCTCAATTACCTTGACTAGCCGGTGCCCCCGCACATTGACTCTGTACCGGTACCCCCCTGTATATAGCCTCCCTACTGTTATTTTATTTTACTGCTGCTCTTTAATTATTTGCAATTTTTTACTTAACACTTTTTTTCTTCTAAAAAAAACTGCATTGTTGGTTAAGGGCTTGTAAGTAAGCATTTCACTGTAAGGTCTACACCTGTTGTATTCGGTGCATGTGGCAAATAAAATTTGACACCACGCAGAGAGAACGTTCACTAAGTGCATCGTTGGAGCGTGTCGATACTGATAGGATCGAAAGAAAGTGAATGCTGCTCTCGGATCAGCTTTCTCCATTCAAATCTTACCTTAACATGATAATTATTCCACAATACTGATGACGGATCAGCTCCTATTACCACCTATGGCTGCAAATATTGAGGCGGCTTATTCTAATGCTTACCCCAATAAAAATGCACTAAATCACCGATTCGGCACATCATTGCGCACGTTAGGCTACAAATCATGAAAGATATTGAGACAAATTACAGACAGTAGCAAAATAGAAAACTGATTGAACATTAAATGTTTTTCAATATGATTGAAATAGGCACATAGCCTACTGTTTATATTTTTTATGTAGTCATCTCGGTTTTCATTTGAAGCATATTTTTATACTTCGCTTGTTTGTATCAATTGCAAGACATTGGCAACTTTGAATTTGTAGTTAACTTTGTTCTGAAGTCACCGTGGTCACAGAGAGACGGATAAAGCCATGTGATTCCGTTTAGTCTATAAAGTGATGCGGGAGGGCAAAACGACGCACTTAGCTGTTCTACAAGTGGTCTGAGGCAGGCGTTAGCGTACGAGCGTTTTCAAGTGCAACGTTAATAAAGATGGTTTTGGGAAACAGCGAGAGAGATTTAACGATGCTCCTACGAAGGTTCTAACGATTGAACTTAGCCTTAAAATGCTTTTGGGAAACCGGGCCCTGATAGGCTGGCAAGAGTAACTGACACCACTTGATGAATCCAGCCTGATTTGACTGTCTCACACAAAACAGTGAACTGATTGGGCACTTTTGAGTGGTAAGACGAAAGAAGCCGACTGTAGACGGAAGTCGACAAGTAAAGTCGGGGTAGGTACATACGCACCGACAGCAAGTTGGACATCTGAGGTTGCAGAAGATGGCGGTGAGTGCAGACGGGATAATATCTTGCTCCGAGTAACCTTACATTAAAGTAAATTTGAGAGGGATAAAATGTAACAAAACCCGGTTTATAGTCAACACAACAGAGAACAACGCTAAGTAGACGCTCATTTGATCTGAAACTTGGCAAAATGGAAGAAAAACGTGCGAAAGAGCAAAGGGAGGAGAAGGCTGCTGCTGACCACTCACACACCAGAGAGAAACCACCCGACTCTGTTGTTGACCACTCACAAACACCAGAGAGAAACCACCTGACTCTGTTGTTGACCACTCACAAACACCAGAGAGAAACCACCTGACTGTTGTTGACCACTCACACACCAGAGAGAAACCACCTGACTCTGCTGCTGACCACTCACACACTAGAGAGAAACCACCCGACTCTGTTGTTGACCACTCACACACCAGAGAGAAACCACCCGACTCTGTTGTTGACCACTCACACACCAGAGAGAAACCACCTGACTGTTGTTGACCACTCACACACCAGAGAGAAACCACCTGACTCTGTTGTTGACCACTCACACACCAGAGAGAAACCACCTGACTCTGTTGTTGACCACTCACACACCAGAGAGAAACCACCCGACTCTGTTGTTGACCACTCACACACCAGAGAGAAACCACCTGACTCTGTTGTTGACCACTCACACACCAGAGAGAAACCACCCGACTCTGTTGTTGACCACTCACACACCAGAGAGAAACCACCTGACTCTGTTGTTGACCACTCACACACCAGAGAGAAACCACCTGACTGTTGTTGACCACTCACACACCAGAGAGAAACCACCTGACTCTGCTGCTGACCACTCACACACCAGAGAGAAACCACCTGACTCCTCAGGAGAAGGCTGCTAGCTGACCACTCATACACCGGAGAGAAACCACCTGACTCCTCAGGAGAAGGTTGCTGCTAGCTGACCACTCACACACCGAAGAGAAACCACCCGACTCCTCAGGAGAAGGCTGCTAGCTGACCACTCATACACCGGAGAGAAACCACCTGACTCCTCAGGAGAAGGTTGCTGCTAGCTGACCACTCACACACCGAAGAGAAACCACCCGACTCCTCAGGAGAAGAAATTGAGGAATCTGGACATTCGGTTGATTCAGAAACTCCAGCCAATAGTTCTGCACCCAAAAAGACACAAAGAATTGTCTTTGCGGGAACTCCAGGTCAACATAATCGATGCTGTCACTGCAAAGATAAACGAAAGAGCCGATGGTCTGGAGAAAATGACACGCGAAAACACATCAAAAATCGTTGACCTCGAGACCTCTCTGAATCATGCATACAAGAGTATAGAAGAGCTTAAACGTGCAAACACTGCAACCTCTGATAAATGCACTGCACAGGAGAAGACCATCGCCAACATGCAAGAGCGCTTGTCGGAAGCAGAGCGATACCGGAGAAGGTGGGGGCTACGGCTTTACGGTGTCCCCGGGGACCATGGTGAGCATGGGAAGGGCATAGTAAGTGACATCTGTAACCGTGTGACTCCGGACTTCCCCGAAGGATATATGGACATGGCTGTGGATGTCGCCCATCGTATTGGGAAGAAGCAAGATGCCATCGGCAGCCGCTCGATCATCATCCAGTTCGCTTTCCGCACAGCGAGAGATGCAGTTTGGAAGAAAGCAAAGGAAAGTGCCTTTCTGAAAGAGAGAACATTTTGAGTCGGTGAGGACCTGACTGCAACAGACAAGGCAGCAAAGGCAAAGTTGTGGCCTCTCATCCAACAGGCCCGAAATCAAGGAATGGGTGCATACTACAGGGGAATCGGAGCCTTTTTCGCCGACGGAAAATAAATTTGACCGGGTTGATTTGCTCCGCCGGTAGGCTTACAAGGTAGCCCCTTCCCCACAACAAACTGAGCGTTCTAGTTTTGAATTCTGGTGTTATGGTTTACAAGTTAAGACTTATGTTACTACATATATGAAGCACCTTTTATAGAGAGGGTAGAGTTGATATTGCATAGGATTTTTGTTTCCATTTTGTATATATGGATTTGAAGCTTATGTCAATCAAAAAAAGAGGAAATCTTTTTTTTGTAAGGACTGCAACGCAGATCTTGTATTTGTTCAAGAAACATTCATGCAAAGATGATTATAATTTTTTGAAAAATCAGTGGGGCAGTGACATTTTCTTGGCCCACAGGACTAATCATTCAGCTGGGGTTGTAATTTTAGCACACAATTTCAAAGGGACATGTTTGTTTACTCAAATGGACACCAATGGACATTGGCTAGTAGCGGTCATCATCCACATGGACAGATTATTTGTGTTGTGTAATGTATATGGATACTGTTCTAGTCTTCCAAATAACTTACTTCTAGAGGAAATTGAGGAAATTCTTAAAAGTCTTCTGAGAAAATATCCATCCAGTCAGATTATAGTTGGTGGGGATTTTTAACATGGTTTATTATAATGAGACTGATAGATTGCCCCATAGGCCTAACATTGGTGTGAATAAATTGGTGAATTTCTGCCAAAGCCTGGACTTAATTGGCATATGGAGAGTTAAAAACCCTGGAGAGAAACAGTACACATGGAGTAATAGAGATCGTTCACTACAAATCAAGAATTGACTTGTGGGTGATAACCTCTAGTCTTGAGCCCAATACTGTAGAGGTAAAAATACCGCCCGCAGTCCTGATGGAACATAAAGTAATATGGCCGCCTGTGAGAATGTGCAGTAATGATGAGAAGAAATATTCTGGAGGTTATTGGAAATTGAATAACTCATTGTTATTGCATGATGAATTTTTTTTTTTTGGGATTAAGAATCTAATTTCTGTTTACTGTAATTTAGCTACCTCCGATGCAGAATATGGGAAATATTGGGAACTGCTGAAATTTATAATCCGCTCAGCCTGTATTACTTACAGGAAACGGCTTTAAGAAGGAGATGTGAGGTAGCTGAGCTCTCTAAGAAAATTGCTGATATCACAGAGATTGAGCATCTTGATCTTAACGAAAAAGCTAAATTGAATGATTTACAGAGTCAACTAGATACATGTTATGAGGAAAAGGCTAGAGGAGCCTTCATAAGATCCAGAAAACAATGGCTTGAAAAAGGCGAAAAGAACAGTAGATACTTTTTTAATTTGGAAAAGAGGAGAGGGGAACTAGAAAACGTAAGGTTAATGAGGTAACCTCCTGAGGACAGAGAGTTGGTATCAGACTTTACCACTAAGTTTTATGAGAATCTTTACTCCTTAGATAACAGTTTGAGTGACTCTAAGGATCTCCTTGATTCTATAGAGAATGTTAACACTGTTAGTGAAGAATTCAAATCGGTCTTGTTGTGAAGATTTATTCATTATGGACATCCAATATGGGGTTGCTCAATTAAAAAATAAGTCTCCAGGTTGTGATGGATTAACCTCTGAATTTTACAAAACCTTCTCTGAAGAAATAGCACAATTCTTACTTGAAACCTTTAAAGAGTCTATAAAGAAGGGAGAACTGCCTGCCTCTCTGAAACAAGTGGTTATTAGTCTTATACCTAAACCACAAAAGGATCTCTTAATTATTGATAATTGGCGTCCAATCACACTCCTAAATAACGACTACAAAATTATAGCCTCAATCTTTGCGAAAAAGGTTGAAGTTGTGCTTGAATGATCTGATTGATGAATGTCAATCAGGGTTTATGAAAGGGCTCCAGATATCTAATAATCTGAGGCTGGTGTTAGAGTTGGTTGAGTACTGTGATCTATTGGATGACTCCCCTGTTATCTTATTTTTGGATTTTCAGAAAGCATTTGATACCGTAAGTCACCATTTTATCTTTGATTGTCTTAAGCATTTGAAGTTTGGTACATTTTTTGTTGACGCTATTAGCAATAGCTGTATCAAACTCTGTCATGGAACATCCTCAAGGTTTAACATTTACAAAGGAATACGACAAGGTTGTCCAATCTCACCTTTTTCTTTTTTTGTTAGTTTCTCAAACCTTATGCTCATTAGTTTATCAAAGTCAATTTGAAGGCATTACATTCCAGGCCAGAGAGATCAAGATATCCCAACTGGCAGATGACACCTCACTTTTTTGGAAAAATGTGTCACAAGATAGATTAGCATTGGATATTGTGAAGCAGTTCTCCAAACTCTCAGGTTTGGTATTAAATCTTTCCAAATGTGAGATGTTTGTTCTGAAAGGAGCTGTCAATCCAGCAGATTGTAACATCTCTGAAAAAGATACTGTAACCTACCTCAGTGAAAAGATCACCAAAAATCTTAAGGCTGTGAATGATCTTAATTTGAATCCTGTAACTGAATCTATCAAAAATACATTTTCCTCATGGTTAGGGAGGGATTTAAGTCTTCAATGGAGGGTGCTTTTATCCAAAACTGAGGGGCACTTTTTTCATCCCCAAATCCACTTGCTGTACCTTAGATAGGCTATTGTACAACTTCATATGGAAAAACCACATAAGATAAAAAGAGATGTTATCACCAACAGGGTTTGTGGTGGCGGTCAAAGTGTCTTAGACTTCACTCTCTTTAATCACATATCAAAAGTCAACTGGGTTAAAAGGTACTTTTAAAAAAATCCTCATCGTTTCTGGAATATTATACCTCATTTTGTTTTTCAAAAGCTCGGAGGGCTTAATTTTTTACTACAATGTCCCTATATTGTGGGTAAACTTCCTGTGAAATTGGCGACTTTTCACAAGCAGGCTTTAATGGGCTGGGCTTTGCTGTATAAAACACAACTTTTCACCTCATAAATGTTTTATATGGAATAATGGGTCGATATTACATAGAAACAAGATGTTATTTTACTGTAACTGGTCAGCCAATTAGTTAGTATTAGTGGAAAATCTATTTACACAGAGAGAATTTATGGAAAGATACAACTTTGAGGTTTCAAGCAAGGAATATGACCCTGTTATAAAAGCTATACCTAGTGGGATAAAATCTTTACTTCAGAATAATGCATGTTTTGGAACATCTCCTATTGTAAGCGATATCCAAGTGAATGGCATAGGTTTACTAGATAAGAAATTCAACAATTGTTTTTTAAGGGATCATTGCTACAGGAATTCTATTCCTTCTGCTATATTTTATTGGGCTTCATCGTTTGATTTAAACTGGCGCCGTGCTTGGCTCACTCCACACACATTTATGGTGACCAATAAAGTAAAGGAGATCTCCTTTAAGATTATCCACAGATTCAACCCGTGTAAATAGCCTGATTTCTAAATATATACCTGATGTTACTAGTGAATGCAGTTTTTGTGAACTAGAAACAATCTATTGAACACTTATTTTGTAATTGTTTACATAGTGAGGTGTTCTGGACTGATGTACAACTATATCTTGGCAACAAAATGCATACAACCATTGAAATATCTAAGTTTGACATATTATTTTACTACATTGATTCCACAATTGAACGTCAGTGTGTCATAAATCTCTTTATTTTATTAGGAAAATATTTCATACACAAATCAAAATTGATGAAGAAAAAGTTTGGAAAACTATTTAGCACTATTAAAACGTATACAGAACTAAATGTCAAAAATGTATTCGTTACATGTCTGTATTTGATTTGATATAATGTGGATTTGTGTAATTTTTTTGATATATTTTTTTCTCTCCTCATTTCTTTGTGTAATCCCTCTGGCTGTTCAGTTTTTTTGTGTTTTACATCTGCTGTTTCCAGGAAACACGACAATCGTCTTTGATATTGTCGTTGAAGTTGATGCTATCGAAATTCCACTTCTACATGAAGCTGAACATGATCAACATGTTCAAAGGAATTAATATCCTGATGATGAGGAAATTAGTTACCAGCCCAAGCCCTTTCTAACATTCACAAGAATGGTTTAATATTTTTGTGATGGTTTTCTCAAAATATATCCAGATAGTGAGTTCATAGGCTACTAGAATGAGAACATATGTGTTTTGCTGCATATTAGATATGCTCTGTTGTTGCCATTACTTCATGCCCTCATTATTATTTGTGAATGTGCAACACTGAATTGTAACAGCTGTGATTAAATGGAGTCCACTAAGATTCTTACTGTGTTGTAATTGATTGCATGTCAGCATCACTACAGCCTGCAGTGTATTTATTTAATTCTCAACCTTTACGTTGCTTTTGTCAGTAACCATGTGAAGAACAGAATGTGATTCAATCACATGAAGGACAAAACACTCACTGTACAGAGATCACCAACTAGATTCAGCCGCGGGTCGATTTTTCCTTGAGCGGACGGTCGGGGGGCCAGAACATAATGACAAATAATTTGTAGACTGCAAATTGACTGCAAGAAGCCTAAACAGATATAATATTTCAAACCTTGCTTACATTTGTATACGGTCACGTCTCTCTATGATGCATGGCAATACTAGGGAACAGATTTCCAAAATTAAAAATCACTAGGAGCAGATTTCCTGGTGTTTTTACAGTCTATAACATGATACAACATTACAGTTAACATCTAGAAAAATACATGAGCTATATTGTCGAAAGTAGGATATTTCATTTATTTACGTTAGAAATTTGGATCACATGTAGGCCTATGTAATTAGATCGTAAGGATGAATATGTATTTAAGCTCTAAATAGTCACCCATCCAAAACAGTAAACGAGCATTGATAATAACCAATGATAGGTGGCGACATTTTACATTTAGATTTTAGTCATTTAGCAGACGCTCTTATCCAGAGCGACTTACAGTTAGTGAGTGCATACATTTTCATACTTGCCCCCCTGTGGGAATCGAACCCACAACCCTGGCATTGCAAGCGCCACGCTCTACCAACTGAGCATGTAGTGCCTTTTGCTTCCAAAAAAAACAGAAGGTTGTCTCCCACACTGCAGTTGGTGAGGAGCATCTGCAGACGTTTCCAGTCGACTTCTGTCGAAAGTTCATGACCTTTGATCACATGGTTGTTGTAAAGGTCATGCAGTCGACATGTAGTCTCAAGTCTGACCATTTTTATACTCATAATGCAACACACTTTGAAAGGTGGTGACCAACGTTGGTCAACGTCTTGACAACAGTGATCCGCTTGAACGCGCCCATTGACTTGATGATAGGGGTTGAGTTCATTCATTTCAAGGAGGAGTTTCGGCAGGTTTGAGAGCAATGACGGAAGCAGAAGCAACGCTTGATTCTGTTGCCGCGAGTGAAGATAGAGGAAGTGAGTGGAATACTGAAACATGAATGGCTAGAGTTGTAAATCAAGATAAGCCTAAAGTTGTCAATCATGATAAGCCTAAAGTTGTCAATCAAGATAAGCCTCACTATGATAATGCCTCATTCCTTTTTGGAGTGCGATTCATGAGCAAGGACGTTTTTTGGGGAAACCCGTTTGCGGTCACAAAGATGGTGAAGGATGCATTGGGAGAAGTGGAGTCAGAAGTGACCAGGAGTGGTATGATGTTGATTTTCAAATTATCGACACATGAAGTGGAATGCTATGACTATCGGAGTTGGGCACCGATAAAAGGTGTCATATGTGGCGTCTCGATGGATATTGAGGCTTCATGGATTAAAGATGAACATGCCAGGAATAGTTGATTCACGTCACTTAACCCACACTGTGAATGGAAAGACAGAGGAAAGCCTTTCTGTATTATTGATGTTTGATGAACAAGTTCTCCCGACCCATGTAAAGCTGGGCTATATGAGATAAGCAGTGTGAGCATATGTACAAAAGCTACTTCAATGTCATAAATGTAAAAAGTTTGGCCACGTGTCAAGTGTTTGCAAACGGAAAATCATCGTCGAAGAGTCCGAGGATGTACGGCGTTGCAATTGTGATGGATTTCACGTTCCAGAGTTCCCAGGGTGACCTGTTAGGGTGAAGGAGGTCAAATTAGGAAGGATCAGGGCCGTCGAGAAGGTGTCCTATGCAGAGGCAGTTAAAATTGTCGAAGCAACGAGTAGAGATGATGACGCTATGGCAGTGGATAACATTTTACATTTACATTTTAGTCATTTAGCAGACGCTCTTATCCAGAGCGACTTACAGTTAGTGAGTGCATACATTATTTTTAATTTTTTCATACTGGCCCCCCGTGGGAATCGAACCCACAACCCTAGTGTTGCAAACACCATGCTCTACCAACTGAGCTACATCCCTGCCGGCCATTCCCTCCCCTACCCTGGACGACGCTGGGCCAATTGTGCGCCGCCCCATGGGTCTCCCGGTCGTGGCCGGCTACGACAGAGCCTGGATTCGAACCAGGATCTCTAGTGCACCACTGCGCCACTCGGGAGTACATGTATAACCAACAGCATGTGATTTCAGTCAGTTGAGCGAGCTTGAAACACTAATGGTGAAGAAGGTTGATTTTGTTGTGTTTATTGTGCAGGTGATTCATTGTACAGGTCAAACTAACTAAATCTAAGAAACTGGAAATCATTGTGAAAGCAGCTAAAAGGTTATTGGATCTCCAGGATTTCACAGCTGAAACATTGCAGGGAATACCGTCTGAAGATGCTCCCCCTTCTCAGACCCCAGAGCCTGTGTAGGGATCTGAGTACATTTCAATAAGTGAAGGAGTAACTTAACTTTTTTAATAATATTTTTTATTTTTGTTAAAGTAGCTCAGTTTTTACCCCACCCAGTAGGTGGCGGCAATACACCTTTTTGGAATTTAATCGGCCAATAAAAACTTAAAGAAGAAGAAGACTTGATGATAGCTGCGTTTTGTCTTCTCTTGTGCAGAAGTTGGCTTGTCTGTTTTCTTGGAATTGCATCAGCTTTTAGTGTGTTTTTTTTTTTACAGAACTTTTCTCCCATTAACTTTCGTTGTAAATCTCTTACATAATCCTCTGGTTACATAATCCTCTGCCGACTACAAACGCAAATACCACCATATTTTGATATTGGTTTATCCATGGGGTATTTTACGTTAATTGCTGCTAACCATTGCTTGCACCCCATAAAAATAAAAATAAAACGTTTACAATATTTATATCTCTAGCAAGGGACATCCTATGAAAAATCACCCCCTTTGCCAGGGCCTGTTTATATTTTTTACAACTGGGAACAGTACACCACCAGCCAACCATGGTTCCAAAACTCTCGCAAACTGACAAAAAATGAAAATAGTAAATACCTATTTGTAACTCAACTAAATCTATGTAATTACAGCTTACGTTTTATGAATTAGGGACACATTTTAGCTAGCTAGAATCCTATCGCATGCGAGGCAAGGGCGCCGCCATCTTGGTTAATTTGTTGACATTCTGAAGTCACGTCTGACTCTCGGGAGACAACAAGATTACAATTTCTGATCAGCAAGGTTGGAGCAGAGAGGGTGGAAAATATACAAACTTCAGCAAACTGAGTTGATTTCAGTTGATTTGGCCGGGACATTAAATACAGGACTACAGTGTTAGCTGTAACTAGCTAATTTAGTCTAGGAAAGTATTTGAAAGCCAAGTTAACAAACAGATCACCGACCATTTCGAATGCGCGGCAGTCTTCATCGACCTGGCCAAGGCTTTCGACTCTGTCAATCACTGCATTCTTATTGGCAGACTAAATAGCCTTGGTTTCTCAAATGACTGCCTCGCCTGGTTCACCAACTACTTCTCAGATAGAGTTCAATGTGTCAAATCGGAGGGCCTGTTGTCTGGACCTCTGGCAGTCTCTATGGGGGTGCCACAGGGTTCAATTCTCGGGCCGACTCTATTCTCTGTGTATATAAATGATGTCGCTCTTGCTGCAGGTGACTCTCAGATCCACCTCTACGCAGACGACACCATTTTGTATACTTCTGGCCCTTCATTGGACACTGTGTTAACAAACCTCCAAACGAGCTTCAATGCCATACAACACTCCTTCCGTAGCCCCCAATTACTCTTAAATGCTAGTAAAACTAAATGCATGCTCTTCAATCGAACGCTGCTTGCACCCGCCCGCCCGCCTAGAATCACTACTCTCGGCGGGTCTGACTTAGAATATGTGGACAACTACAAATACCTAGGTGTCTGGTTAGACTGTAAACTCTCCTTCCAGACTCCCATTAAGAATCTCCAATCAAAAGTTAAATCTAGAATCGGTTTCCTATTTCGCAACAAAGCCTCCTTCACTCATGCTGCCAAACATGCCCTCGTAAAACGGACTATCCTACCGATCCTTGACTTCGGCGATGTCATTTACAAAATAGCCTCCAACACTCTACTCAGCAAATTGGATGTAGTCTATCACAGTGCCATCCGTTTTGTCACCAAAGCCCCATATACTACCCACCATTGTGACCTGTACGCTCTCGTTGGCTGGCCCTCACTACATATTCGCCAACCCACTGGCTCCATCTATAAATCACTGCTAGGCAAATCCCCGCCTTATCTTAGCTCATTGGTCACCATAGCAACACCCACCCGTAGTATGCGCTCCAGCAGGTATATCTCACTGGTCATCCCCAAAGCCAACACCTCCTTTGGCCGCCATTCCTTCCAGTTCTCTGCTGCCAATGACTGAACGAACTGCAAAAATCTCTGAAGCTGGAGACTCTTATCTCCCTCACTAACTAAGCATCAGTTGTCAGAGCAGCTTACTGATCACTGCACCTGTACACAGCCCATCTGTAATTAGCCCACCCAACTACCTCATCCCTATATTGTTATTTATTTTGCTCATTTGCACCCCAGTATCTCTATTTGCACATCATCTTCTGCACATCTATCACTCGTGTTAATACTAAATTGTAATTATTTTGCACTATGGCCTATTTATTGCCTTACCTCCATAACTTACTACATTTGCACACACTGTATATAGATGTTCTATAATTTCTATTGTGTTATTGACTGTATGTTTTTGTTTATTCCATATGTAATTCTGTGTTGTTGTTGTTTTTATCGCACTGCTTTGCTTTATCTTGGCCAGGTCGCAGTTGTAAATGAGAACTTGTTCTCAACTGGCTTAACTGGTTAAATAAAGGTGAAATAAAAAATAAAAAAAAAATAGGCTAGGTTACCTCTAATCGAGATCTTTTCTTCTGCGCTGGTGTTGGTTGATCGGATGTCTTCCGTTTTGTTGTAAAGGTAAAAACCGATGGTATCGCATCACGTTTTAGCTTCCGTCGATTTGGTTTCCCCATCAATTCAGATTGATAATCCCTCAAATAATCTTCTGGCCGAAAATGCTGACTACATACCCGGATGTTTTGATACTTGGCCACTGGTGTGTTGACATCGTAAACATTATTCTTGATAGCCGCGAGCCACTGGCGGCATCGGGGTATATCTCCGGTAGGTAAACGGTGAAAGATCACTCCTTCTTTTTGCGCTTGTTTGTAATTAGCACAGTAAGGCACAGAACACCACACGGGCATTATGACACAAAAATATAGTGTAGAGAAATTCTGAGATTACAGGTTGAACTACTCAACGCGTTGTTCGTAACTGCTAGGCGAGCGAGTTTTCGGGCTAGCCCCACGTAAACGCCCCTTCCGCTCTACTTCCGGGTCATGTCCACTAATATTTGGTCGTCCCTAGTTACCACAGCCACATATTAATAAACCCCGCCCATTTCTCAAATGTATCTTCTTAAAATCTGATGTTAAGACACACTGCTAACCGTATGCCTAACCTTAAATTAAAGACCAAAAAAACTCATTTTTGTTTACAAAATAGCCAATTTAGACTTTGTGGTTGTGGTAACTAGTGTAGTGACAAACCTGCAGTAGAGTAGCCTGGCTGACGCGCGACTACACAGCGACTCCGTAACCTAACGTAGTTTACGTTAGCTTGCAAAGTTACAAATCACGTCGCCAGGTATCAGCTGGCTAATTACGTTGGTTTGCTTTGGAATGTTTAGCCAGCGTGTTATGAAAACTAGCTATATTTTGGTTTAGCTAGATTTTTAAAAAAAAATCGCTAGCTGTAGTTAGCTTAACTAGCTGCGCGTTACCTCAGCTCGACTTCTTTTCTGCTGCGCTGATGTTGGCTGATCGGATGCCTTCCTCTTTGAAGTGAAAGGGAAAATCGATGGAATAGCTTCACTTTTCAACGTTCGACGACCTGGCAACCCCATCAATTGAGACTTCAGGTCAGTTTCGAAATCCTCTGGCTGAAAGTGCTGGCTACAAACACGGACATTTGGATATTTCTCCAGTGCAGTATTCACATCATAGGCAGCGTTCTTTATTGCCGCCAACCACTTTCGGCTACGAGTAATATCTCTGACAGGTAACCGATGAAACGTTACTCCAGCAGCCTGTGCTTGCTTGTAGTTTGCACATCCAGGTACTGAGCACCACACCATGACTAAATGTAACGGTTGTTGTCGACACAAAAATAAAAGCTGTTGACGCCCATTCTCAACTGGATCCACTTGGTTGTTACCACAGCCACAAAGTCATAAACCCCGCCTATTTCTACTATTTCTCTTCTTAAAATGTGATTTTTACCTTAACCATAACCACACTGCTAACTTTATGCCTATATATATTTTCAACCAGTAAATGTAGATGGCCCGTTTCTACCGGTGAGATGCAGAAACGCTCTTATTTGCGTGTAGTGAGGAAAATCTAGATTTTTATTACACATATATGTTAATAACATATTCATGGACATATACTGTGAAATAGCAGCGGTGAAAATTGTCTTTAAAGTTGAATGCCTAGGGTCTAGGGTCAGTCTGTCCTATCTGGTATACTGTGCATTCTTAGGCATGCTCTCTCTAATTGTTCTCTTTCTGTCTCCCCTCCTGGAGGGCCTGAACCCAACCATGCCTCAGGACTACCTGGCCTGACTACTCCTGGCTGTCTCTGTCACCAGTCCACCTAGTTGTATTGCTGATCCTCTCTCTCTCTCAAATGGCTTTATTTGCATGGGAAACATGGCGGCAGGTAGCTTAGTGGTTAAGAGCGTAGTGCCAGTAACCGAAAGGTCGCTGGTTCTAATCCCCGAGCCGACTAGGTGAAAAATCTGTCTGTGCCCTTGAGCAAGGCACTTAACCCTAATTGCTCCTGTAAGTCGCTCTGGACAAGAGCGTCTGCTAAATGACTAAATGTAAAATGTACATTGCCAAAGCAAGTGGAATAGACAATAAACTAAAGGGAAATAAGCAATTAGAAGTTAGCAGTAAACATTACTCAAATTATTAAAATAATATAGAAATGTTAATGTTATTATTGTCTATGTACAGTGTTGTAACAAATAGTTGAAGTGTGAAAGGGAAAATAAACAGATAAATATAGGTTGTATTTACAATGGTTTTTGTGCTCCACTGGTTGCGCTTTTTAGTGGCAACAGGTCACAAATCTTGCTGCTGTGGTGACACAGTCCACTCTGAAAAGCCAACTGACATTGACACCTGAGGTGTTCTCTCTCTCTGAAAAGCCAACTGACTTTGACTCCTGAGGTGTTGAACTGTTCCACCCTCTACATCCACTGTGGTTATTGCTTGACCTTGCTGGTAATCTATGAACATCTCGAATAACCATCTTGACTTAATTGTCACATGTACTCAAAGTTTCCCCAAGGCACAGCCAGAAGAGGACTTTGCCACGCCTCCGAGCCTGGTTCCTCTCTAGGTTTCTTCTTAGGTTCCTGCCTTCTGGGGAGTTTTTTCTTAGCTACTGTCCTTCTGCATCTCAATTGCTTGCTCTTTGGGATTTTTGCCTGAGTATCTGTAAAGCACTGTAAAGAGCTTTATAAAATACATTTGATTGATCTACATGTTTGCTTCTGTACCATTTAAACTGAATAAGTTATATCTCTATACAGCCACTGTATTGTTCATTCTATAGAAGTTGTCTCCAATAAAGTGAGGTGATTTGGAATCCTCGGACAGTCTTCTAATAGGACCCAGTTTCATACCAAAGATATTTTATAACTAACCCAAGATAGACCACAGCCTGTCGTTTCCAATGGGAACAAATGAATCATAGTGAGCAAAACAAGCAAGGAGGTGGGCATAGCCAAGCACGAGCTAGCGAGATCCTATATTTGCATATTTCCGTTAGGGAACGCCTACTCTGAAGTGCGTGTGCAATACTTCAATTCGCCCTTGCATTCCTTGTAAGGAACTTTTTTTTTTTTTTGCTTTGGCAAAGGGTAAAGTCTACAAAACTTAGTCCACTCTGTTCGTAACAGATTCTAGTTTTGGAAATAGAAAACTATATTGAGATCAAATGTTTAATCGATGAGAAAGATCCATCTCGCTCCATCTTCTCCCACTGCCGGCCCGTGGGGATCACCATATTTGGTAGTGAGTGGAAACGCCAACTGGATGCTTCACATTTATATACTGAACAAAAATATAAACGCAACATGCAACAATTTCAACGATTTTGCTGAGTAAAGTTCATATAAGGAAATCAGTAAATTGAAATAAATTCATTAGGCTCTAATCTATGGATTGCACATGACTGGGCATAGGCCCACCCACTTGGGAGCCAGGCCCACCCACTGGGGAGCCAGAACCAGCCAATCAGAATGAGCTTTTCCCCACAGAATAGTTTTTATTAGACAAATACTTAATCAGCTTCTTGATATGCCACACCTGTCAGGTGGATGGATTATCTTGACAAAGGATAAAATGCTCACTAACAGGGATGTAAACACATTTGTGCACCAAATGTGAGAGAAAAGCTTTTTGTGCGTATGGAACATTTCTGGGATCTTTTATTTCAGCTTATGAAACATGGGACCAGCACTTTACATGTTGCGTTTATATTTTCGTTCAGTGTACATCCGGTGAAATATCTGGCACATTGTTCTATCTGTGGTCATCTCTTCAGATTTGCGTCATTAGGGTATTTTTTCAGCAGAAAGCTACGGCCACCGCTATTGAAAATCGGCATTTTCAATACAGACCTCTTTTACAGCACTATACAGCTATTTGCCACTGTACTGTTTATTCTCTAGAAGTTGCCTCTAATACAGTGGGTGTTCCTGCCTGAATACAGTTCAGACGTTGCATTGCCTCAACCAATGGTTCAGTGCCACGTCATCAGGTGCTCAGTCGGGCATCAGTTTACTATATCATATGTGGTCAGCTGATATTTTAAACACCTACCCAGGCGTTGTGAGATCTGGAAGGAGTCTGCAATGGAGTCAGTCAGGAAAGCCACCCAATTCAATGGTGCTCCGACTCTCCCCCTCTCTCTCCTGCTCAGTACTACAGTTTGGTTCCTGACTCTCCCCCTCCTTCTCTCTCTCCCTGCTTCTGAGAGCCGGGGCCATGATGCCGTTGGATGTGGATCTTCAGATGGACTATGCGATTGAAACACTGGTCACACTGCTGGCACTTGGAGCGCATGTGGGCCCTGAGGTGTCTCTTTTCGGTGAACGAGCGTTGGCACAGCTGGCACATGTGGGGTCTCTGCCTACTGTGAACGGCTGTATGTTTCTGGAGGTGTTTAAGCTGGAAGAAACGTTTGTCGCAGATGTCACAAATGTATCTCTTTGGACCTCTGTGGCTCTGAAGGTGTCTGTCCCGTAGTCTAATGTTCTTGAATCTTTCTGAGCATTCTGAGCACTGATAAGGATGCCGATGGTTCTCCTCGTGGGTAAGCTTGTCCTGTTTGGTCCTGAATGGCTTGAGGCAGAACTTACATGGGTAAACACGGCCTTTCTGATGGAGACGTCTGTGACACTTCAGACCCTGTTCACTCAGACAGCGTTTACCACAGTCTAGACAGCAGAGCTTCTTGAGCTTGTGCTCACACAAATTATCCTTCTTGAAGTGACGCTTGCGCTCTCTCTCCTCCTCCTCTCTCTCCTGCTCCCGACTCTCCCTCGAGCCGGGGCCATGATGGCGTTGGAAGTGGTTCTTCAGACTGACGTTGTGATTGAAGAACTTCTCACACTGCTGGCACTTGAAGGGCCGCTCCGCTGTGTGGATGCGCATGTGGGACTTGAGGTGGCGCAGCTGGGCATAGGAGCGTTGGCAGACCTGGCACGTGTGGGGCTTCTGGCCACTGTGGACGGCTGTCTTTGGACCTCTGTGGCTCTGAAGGTGTCTGTTCCGTAGTCTAATGTTCTTGAATATTTCTGAGCATTCTGAGCACTGATAAGGATGCCGATGGTTCTCTTCGTGGGTAAGCTTGTCCTGTTTGGTCCTGAATGGCTTGAGGCAGAACTTACATGGGTAAACACGGCCTTTCTGATGGAGACGTCTGTGACTCCACAGACCCTGCTCACTCAGACAGCGTTTACCACAGTCTCGACAGCGGAGCCTCTTGATCTTGTGCTCGCACAAATGATCCTTCTTGAAGTGACGCTTGCCGCAGTCTGTACAGAGCAACCAATGAGGTTTTGTGTTGTGTTGACGTCGTACATGTTCCTTGAAGCTGGCCGGGTCCTCGAAGCGCATGTAGAATTGGTCAAATCCAACAGCTTGTTGGACCTCACTCACACACACACCACAGGCGTACAGCTTCTTATGGCGCTGTGTGGTGCAGGCGAGTACAGGCTCGGCTCCACAGTCAGTGCACCACTCCACAAGTCTCTCTTCTTTCTCTATTCCGGTCTGACAATTATCAATGTTGGCCTCTTCTGTTAGACCAGAGGAACCTGCCGTTTCCAAATCCTCAGAAGAATCAGAGTCCATTACAATGTCTTCCTCATCAGACGGCTCCCACTCGGTCTCATCTGATCTCTCCTTCCCCCTTTTCCTCTTGTTCTCCCTCTCCGAGGACTGACCGCTTTCCTCATCATAGTCACAGATCTCCTCAGTGATTTCCATCGTCAACGAACAACTGTCATCCTGGTCTCCGTCCTTACATGGTTCCTCACGAAAAGAAACAAACACACATTTCACTATCAGCTATTAGCATGTCTACATCATTCTATAAATGTTCTGTGATGGTGTGTTTTGGGTAAATAGCTAAATACCCACCTCTCCATTCAGTAGCTCCTTCTCTCTTTCTCTAGAGGTTTCCTCGGCAACAGAAGGCTGGCTCATCCACTTCCTGGTGTGACTGCATACTGGGCACGTCTGAATGACAGAGAAGCTCCTCTGTTGGCCCTGCAAGCTGACCTCGCACTCAAATCCACACTTCCTGCACAACCGGAAGAGCTGCAGGAGACAGTCTCTGTTCACACACAAGTCACCATTCCTGTGGATGGAGGTGAAGTGACAATTAACTAAATTGTGCTCATCACAAAGTGCTGTTAATGTAAAAGCCACTTAAGACTACACTGAACAAAAACAAACGTAACATGCAACAATTTAAAAGATTTGACTGAGTTACAGTTCATATAAGGAAATCAGTCAATTTAAATAAATAAATTAGGCCCTAATCTATGGATTTCACATGACTGGGCATAGAGATAAAGTATGGGTGTTGATCAGAAAACCAGTCAGTATCTGGTGTGACCACCATTTGCCTCATGCAGCGCGACACATCTCCTTCGCATAGGGGTGATCAGGCTGTTGATTGTGGAATGTTGTCCCACTCCTCTTCAATGGCTGTGCAATGTTGCTGGATATTGGCGGGAACTGGAACACGCCGTCGTACACGTCGATCCAGAGCATCCCAAACGTGCTCAATGGGTGACATGTCTGGTGAGTATGCAGGAAGAGATGGAGGCACAGTCGAAAAATAGGAATAAATCCAAAACTGATGCTTGAATGCAAAATAAAGATGTGACATATGCAATTATACTTGAAGTAAAAGCCAGGTGTGTGTGCCAACAATTTACACTGAGGATGGCCTTAGGCCGAAACATCTGTTTTGTTTTCACCTTTCATTTATGCACTATGATTTTTTGGGCACCATGATGTTTTAATAAACATCTTTATTTTGCATTCAAGCCTCAGTTTTGGATTTATTCATTTTTTGACATTATGCTGGTCTCCATCTTTTCCAGTATTCTTATTTGACTCCTACGCACCTGGAACAGACACTATTCAGTAGTAAGGACCTTTAAAAGAGCGCAGACGGCCTCCTATCATTGGTGAGTATGCAGGCCATGGAAGAACTGGGATATTTTCAGCTTCCAGGAATTGTGTACAGATCCTTGCGACATGGGGCTGTGCATTATCATGCTGTAACATGAGGTGATGGCGGCGGATGAATGGCACGACAATGGGCCTCAGGATCTTGTCACGGTATCTCTGTGCATTCAAATTGCCATCGATAAAATGCAGTTGTGTTCATTGTCCATAGCTTATGCCTGCCCATACCCTAACCCCACTGCCAGCTCGGTTCACAGTTGAAACCGGGATTTATCTGCGAAGAGCACACTTCTCCAGCGTGCCAGTGGCCATCGAAGGTGAGCATTTGCCCACTGAAGTTGGTTACGATGCCGAACTGCAGTCAGGTTAAGACCCTGGTGAATACGATGAGCTTCCCTGAGACGGTTTGTCACTGTTTGTGCAGAAATTATTTGGTTGTGCAAACCCACAGTTTCATCAGCTGTCCGGGTGGTGGTTCTTAGACGTGAAGAAGCTGGATGTGGGCTGCGTTGGTTACACGTGGTGTACTGTTGTGAGGCCGGTTGGATGTACTGCCAAATTCTCTAAAACGACAGTGGCGGCTTATGGTAGAGAAATTAACATTAAATTCTGGCAACCACTGAGGTGGACATTCCTGCAGTCAGCATGCTAATTGCACGCTCCCTCAACTTGGGATATCTGTGGCATTGGGTTGTGTGACAAAACGGCACATTTTAGAGTGGCCTTTTGTTACCAGCACAAGGTGCACCTGTGTAATGATCATGCTGTTTAATCAGCTTCTTGATATGCCACACCTGTCAGGTGGATGGATTATCTTGGCAAAGGAGAAATGCTCACTAACAGGGATGTAAACAAATGTGTGTACAACATTTGAGAGAAATAAGCTTTTTGTATGTTTGGGATCTTTTTATTTCAGCTCATGAAACATGGGACCAACACTTTACATGTTGCGTTTATATTTTTGTTCAGTATAGTTTTAAGAAAAGATGGATGTCTCAAAAGGTAGTTAGTTCCCGGTTATGTTACGATCCCCTTTAGACATTTTGACATCCTGTTTGTGGAATCATCAGGGAAGTGAATGTGGACTTACTCAGGAGTGACATCGACGCTGGTTCCATGAGGACGTGTTTGCACAGCTGTGGAAAATGAGATGCATTGTTTCATATGTCACGCTGATATTTTGCCCAGGGTTCACTGAACACATTAATAACTAATATTTTTCAAAATGTGTAAAGTATTGTAAATACGTGAGTGTTGCATGATATACCGGTAGGATTCATAAAGGGCTAACTACACTGCTCAAAAAAATAACACATCCTAGATCTGAATGAATGAAATAATCTTATTAAATACTTTTTTCTTTACATAGTTGAATGTGCTGACAAAAAAATCACACAAAAATTATCAATGGAAATCAAATTGATCAACCCATGGAGGTCTGGATTTGGAGTCACCCTCAAAATTAAAGTGGAAAACCACACTACAGGCTGATCCAACTTTGATGTAATGTCCTTAAAACAAGTCAAAATGAGGCTCAGTAGTGTGTGTGGCCTCCACGTGCCTGTATGACCTCCCTACAACGCCTGGGCATGCTCCTGATGAGGTGGCGGATGGTCTCCTGAGGGATCTCCTCCCAGACCTGGACTAAAGCATCCGCCAACTCCTGGACAGTCTGTGGTGCAACGTGGCGTTGGTGGCTGGAGCGAGACATGATGTCCCAGATGTGCTCAATTGGATTCAGGTCTGGGGAATGGGCGGGCCAGTACATAGCATCAATGCCTTCCTCTTGCAGGAACTGCTGACACACTCCAGCCACATGAGGTCTAGCATTGTCTTGCATTAGGAGGAACCCAGGGCCAACCGCACCAGCATATGGTCTCACAAGGGGTCTGAGGATCTCATCTCGGTACCTAATGGCAGTCAGGCTACCTCTGGCGAGCACATGGAGGGCTGTGCGGCCCCCCCAAAGAAATGCCACCCCACACCATGACTGACCCACCGCCAAACCGGTCATGCTGGAGGATGTTGCAGGCAGCAGAACGTTCTCCACGGCGTCTCCAGACTCTGTCACGTCTGTCACGTGCTCAGTGTGAACCTGCTTTCATCTGTGAAGAGCACAGGGCGCCAGCGGCGAATTTGCCAATCTTGGTGTTCTCTGGCAAATGCCAAACGTCCTGCACGGTGTTGGGCTGTAAGCACAACCTCCACCTGTGGACGTCGGGCCCTCATACCACCCTCATGGAGGCTGTTTCTGACCGTTTGAGCAGACACATGCACATTTGTGGCCTGCTGGAGGTCATTTTGCAGGGCTCTGGCAGTGCTCTTCCTGCTCCTCCTTGCACAAAGGCGGAGGTAGCAGTCCTGCTGCTGGGTTGTTGCCCTCCTACGGCCTCCTCCACGTCTCCTGATGTACTGGCCTGTCTCCTGGTAGCGCCTCCATGCTCTGGACACTACGCTGACAGACACAGCAAACCTTCTTGCCACAGCTCGCATTGATGTGCCATCCTGGATGAGCTGCACTACCTGAGCCACTTGTGTGGGTTGTAGACTCCGTCTCATGCTACCACTAGAGTGAAAGCACCGCCAGCATTCAAAAGTGACCAAAACATCAGCCAGGAAGCATAGGAACTGAGAAGTGGTCTGTGGTCACCACCTGCAAAACCAGTCCTTTATTGGGGGTGTCTTGCTAAATGCCTATAATTTCCACCTGTTGTCTATTCCATTTGCACAACAGCATGTGAAATGTATTGTCAATCAGTGTTGCTTCCTAAGTGGACAGTTTGATTTCACAGAAGTGTGATTGACTTGGAGTTACATTGTGTTGTTTAAGTGTTCCCTTTTATTTTTTTGAGCAGTGTATATTCATATAGGGTTAACTATATCAAAAATCTCTCTTTCTGGTGCTCCTTACATTGTTTGGTGCGTAACGTTTTTAAAGTTGGGAGCAGTGTGTGTATGTTTGTGGGAGAGGAGAGAGAGTGGTGTGTGTGTGTGTGTGTGTGTGTGTGTGTGTGTGTTTATGAAAGTGAGGGAGACAGAGAGAGAGTGAGGGAGACGGAGAGAGAGTGAGGGAGACGGAGAGAGAGTGAGGGAGACGGAGAGAGAGAGTGAGGGAGACAGAGAGAGAGAGTGAGTGAGACAGAGAGAGAGAGTGAGACAGAGAGAGAGAGAGAGTGAGAGAGAGAGAGAGTGAGGGAGACAGAGAGAGAGAGTGAGGGAGACAGAGAGAGAGAGTGAGGGAGAGAGAGAGAGTGAGGGAGACAGAGAGAGAGAGTGAAGGAGACAGAGAGAGTGTGAAGGAGACAGAGAGAGTGAAGGAGACAGAGAGAGAGTGAAGGAGACAGAGAGAGTGGAGGAGACAGAGAGAGTGGTGTGTGTGTGTTTATGAAAGTGAGGGAGACAGAGAGAGTGTGTGAGGAAGGGGGGTGTCTGTGTTAACTGAGGAGGAAAGTAGGTTTCATGCAGTGTTTTCCCCTGACTGACACAATGACATGCAGATCATTATCCAGTGTTTTCCCCTGACTGACACAATGACATGCAGATCATTATGCAGTGGTTTCCCCTGACTGACACAATGACATGCAGATCATTATGCAGTGTTTTCCCCTGACTGACACAATGACATGCAGATCATTATGCAGTGGTTTCCCCTGACTGACACAATGACATGCAGATCATTATGCAGTGTTTTCCCCTGACTGACACAATGACATGCAGATCATTATGCAGTGTTTTCCCCTGACTGACACAATGACATGCAGATCATTATGCAGTGGTTTCCCCTGACTGACACAATGACATGCAGATCATTATGCAGTGGTTTCCCCTGACTGACACAATGACATGCAGATCATTATCCAGTGGTTTCCCCTGACTGACACAATGACATGCAGATCATTATCCAGTGGTTTCCCCTGACTGACACAATGACATGCAGATCATTATGCAGTGGTTTCCCCTGACTGACACAATGACATGCAGATCATTATGCAGTGGTTTCCCCTGACTGACACAATGACATGCAGATCATTATGCAGTGGTTTCCCCTGACTGACACAATGACATGCAGATCATGATGCATGTATATTCCTTCCTCCCATTCCTCCAGCCAAATCACAGGTAGGCCTTTGCAAATATGAACAAATTAGCCATTGTATGCAGTATTCTGTTATACAGTGTGAAGTTAAATTCAAAATGTGTTGCATTGAGTAGAAGTGTGACTATCAGTGGCAGGTCTTTTGTGTTACATGTGCGCATAACGTTTAGAGAACGGGAACAAGCGTCCGAGGGACGGGGCGAACAGGAGTCTAGGCCACTGAATATTTCCCCTGTGATACACGGCCTGGTATCGTATCATTAGTAAAATGTTGGTATCGTGACAACACTACTAATGAATATCCTCGTTGTTTTACACACCTTTATTTTTCCTTTGCACTTTGAAGAACTTCTTCGCAGAGAACTGTGTGGACAGATCTGGAGTCAATTCAATCATTCTAAACATCATAAAATAGTTCATCCTCAACCAAACACCCATGATATACCCTCCCTCCCTCCCTCCCTCCATGATATACCCTCCCTCCCTCCCTCCATGATATACCCTCCCTCCCTCCCTCCATGATATACCCTCCCTCCCTCCATGATATACCCTCCCTCCCTCCCTCCATGATATACCCTCCCTCCCTCCCTCCCGCCATGATAATCCCTCCCTCCCTCCCTCCATGATATACCCCTCCCTCCCTCCCTCCATGATATACCCTCCCTCCCTCCCTCCCTCCCGCCATGATATACCCTCCCTCCCTCCCTCCATGATATACCCTCCCTCCCTCCCTCCCTCCATGATATACCCTCCTCTCCTCCATGATATACCCTCCCTCCTCCTCCCTCCATGATATACCCCATCCCTCCCTCCCTCCCTCCATGATATACCCTCCCTCCCCTCCCTCCATGATATACCCTTCCCTCCCTCCCTCCCTCCATGATACCCCCTCCCTCCCTCCCTCCATGATATACCCTCCCTCCCTCCCTCCATGATATACCCTCCCTCCCTCCCTCCATGATATACCCTCCCTCCCTCCCTCCTATGATATACCCCCTCACCCCCTGAATACCCTCCCTCCCTCCCTCCATGATATACCCTCCCTCCCTCCATGATATACCCTCCCTCCTCCCCTCCCTCCATGATATACCCTCCCTCCCTCCCTCCATGATATACCCTCCCTCCCTCCCTCCATGATATACCCTCCCTCCCTCCCTCCATGATATACCCTCCCTCCCCTCCATGATATACCCTCCCTCCCTCCCTTCCTCCCTCCATGATATACCCTCCCTCCCTCCCTCCATGATATACCCTCCCTCCCTCCATGATATACCCTCCCTCCCTCCCTCCCTCCCTCCATGATATACCCTCCCTCCCTCCATGATATACCCTCCCTCCCTCCCTCCCTCCCTCCCTCCATGATATACCCTCCCTCCCTCCCTCCATGATATACCCTCCCTCCCTCCCTCCATGATATACCCTCCCTCCATGATATACCCTCCCTCTCGTATAGTAATGACCAGTTACAACAGGCTACCCATTTGGTTGCATTCCAGATATTAATTCCATCAAATCTCACCCGTTTCCCCTGTTTCCTCTGGACTGAGTTCGTGTACGCCTTTTCATCATCCTCATCTTCCTCCTGCTCCCTGGAGAACTGCCAGAACTCCTCATCCGTCAGCGCAGCGGCATCTTCATCGTCACTGCCTGGCAACACAACAGTAGTCTCCGCTACATTCTCTCCAGAGCAACCGGGATCTCCATCCTCCGGTGACAAAGGTGTCATCTGTATAAATTTAGAACATAATGTGCAGTTATTAACCAGTGCAACGGAAGGAACCAATGGAATAGTCCCAAAAGTGAAAACTGAACTCCCAACTAAATCAAGCACTCCTCAGTCACTGTCACAGGTGTAAGCAAAACTACTAGGGTTGTGACGATATTAGTATCGCGATACTCAGAAGTATCGTGGCAAGGAAACAAAAGATGAACACACTTTGACATAAAGCAGGTTTAAAAGGACCAAAGAGTTTGGCATGCTTCGTGTTTTCTTTTGAAAAACATTGAGTATCGCAATATCGCCACAACTCTAAAAACGCCATTTTAGTTGGCGGGTTAAGCCACACAGGAATGTTCCACCAAGTCATCCTGACATTAGAAAGTACAGTCATGATGGAAGGGTCCTGAATAAGTTAAGTCTTGACTGACACTATGGAATCATGCTACAACTATCTACAGCGCCTTCAGAAAGTATTCATACCCCTTGACTTATTCCACATTTTGTTGTGTTACAGCCTGAATTCTAAATTGATTCAATATTTTTATATATCTCACCCATGTACACACAATCCCCCATAACGACAAAGTGAAAACATGTTTTTAGAAATGTTTGCAAATTTAGTGAAAATTAAACACAGAAATCTCATTTACATAAGTATTCACACCCCTGAGTCAATACATGTTAGAATCACCTTTGGCAGCGATTACAGCTGTGAGTCTTTCTGGGTAAGTCTCTAAGACAGGGGTGTCAAACTCATTCCATGGAGGGCCGAGTGTCTGCTGGTTTTTGGTTTCTCCTTCTAATGTGTCCAATTAAGACCTAGACAGCCAGGTGAGGAGAATTCCTAACTAATCAGTGACCTTAATTCATCAATTAAGTACAAGGGAGGAGTGAAAACCCGCAGACACTCGACCCTCCGTGGAATGAGTTTGACACGTGCTCTGAGAGCTTTGAACACAAGGATTGTACAATATTTGCAAATTATTATTTTTAAGATTCTTCCAGCTCTGTCAAGTGTTAGTTGTTGATAATTGCTAGACAGCCATTTTCAAGTCTTGCCATAGATTTTCAAGACGATTTAAGTCAAAACTGTAACTAGGCCACACAGGAATATTCAATGTCTTCTTGGTAAGCAACTCCAGTGTAGATTTGGCCTTGTGTTTTAGATTGTTGTCCTGCTGAAAGTTGAATTTGTCTACCAGTGTCTGTTGGAAAGGAGATAACCAGGTTTTCCTCTAGGATTTTGCCTGTGCTTAGCTCTATTCCGTTTCCTTTTATCCTAAAAAAAACTCCCTAGTCCTTGCCGATGACAAGCATACCCCCATAACATGATGCAGACACCACCATGGTTGAAAATATGAAGAGTGGTACTCAGTGATGTGTTGTATTGGATTGGATTTGCCCCAAACATAACACTTTGTATTTAGGACAAAAAGTGAATTGCTTTGCCACATTTTTTGCAGTATTACTTTAGTGCCTTGTTGCAAACAGGATGCATGTTTTGGAATATTTTTATTCTGTACATGCTTCCTTCTTCTCACTCTGTCAATTAGGTTAGTATTGTGGAGTAAATACAATGTTGTTGAACCATCCTCAGTTTTCTCCTATCACAGCCATTCAACTCTGTAACTGTTTTCAAGTCACCATTGACCTCATGGTGAAATCCCACCGTCCAAGGTGTAATTAATAACTTCACCATGCTCAAAGGGATATTAAATGTCAATTTATTTTTACCCATCTACCAATAGGTGCCCTTCTTTGCGAGGCACTGGAAAACCTCCCTGGTCTATGGTTGAATCTGTGTTTTGAAATTCACTGTTCGACTGAGGGACCTTACAGATAATTCAATGTGTGGGGTACAGAGATGAGGTAGTCATAAAAAAATCATGTTAAACACTATTATTGCACACAGAGTGAGTCCATGCAACTTATTATGTGACTTGTGAAGCAATAGTTAAATATTATTTAGGCTTGCTATAACAAAGGGGTTGAATACTTATTGACTCAAGACATTTCAGCTTTTCATTTTTAATTAATTTGTAACAAAAATTAAAAACATCATTCCACTTTGACGTTATGAGGTATTGTGTGTAGGCCAGTGACACAAAATCTCAATTTAATCAATTTTAAATTCAGGCTGTAACACAACAAAATGTGGGAAAAAGTCAAGTGGTGTGAATATTTTCTGAAGGCACTGTATGTAGGAAAACATACCGGATGTTCATCTCTACTCACCACTGGATGAGGTGGGCTGGTCGGTGGGCTTATTGGTTGGTCTTCAATAGCGGTCCGGGTATGGCAGGCAGCAAAGTCTTTATCATAGGAAAGTGTAATTTCTCTCCTCTTTGTTAAGCTACTGTGACTTGAAACACAAACTCCCATTTTTGCAAGCTTGTTTTGGCATCTGGTCCTGGTTCGTCCTTGCCGTAGCAACATTGAGGTCCTGTACATGGGTGCACACATATTCTTTGAGCGAGCCCTAAGTAGTAAGGCGCCAGCCATGGCCACCATGGAACTTTTAGCTGATTTGGTTGTATTTGGATTCAAGGACGCTGTAGCTGAGCTAGCGGACAGAAAACTGAGGAAGGTCGGCGCCGAGGTCTTCCACTCGTCAGTCACAGTGGTCCAGTTGAAGGTTTTAAGTGAAAGGGGACTAGTCTGGCGTAGGACGGAGTTGAAGCGCATAGAAACTAAGGTGACGCATTCTTTAGTTACCAACTTCAGCACTTCCTCCAACATCGCATGGCCCAGGCCAGGGATTGCCATTAGGTTTCTGGGGATAGCTTTGAAACGACCCCGCACTAAATTATCTGCAACTGCCTCCCACGGTCCCGTAAGTACTCTGGTTCGTAGTGATGAGCCAACTCGAAAACTGACCTACATTAAAATAAAGGGCCATAAGAAAGATGTAGTTGCACATTTTCCGTCCACACAGATCAGAAGAAAGGTGAACAGGATTGTGGATGGAATTAGTCATTTTGTAGATTTTTGTACCTGATATAGAAATTAAAATATATACAGGTTAAAAGTAATGACTAAATGTTCCACCCTTAAATATAGTTGTGAAATGTTCTTGTTTTTAAGTATGATTAGTACTTTCTTAGTAGTGACTAATTATTACACTCCGAAACTGTGTGAGATGTGTTAGAATCTACTACCTGGTAATGTGTGAGTGTAGGACCAGTAAAGATTATGACATTGTGTTACTATTTAGCAATGTGAGTAGGAGTTAGACCAGACAACAAAGGACAAGGAGAACTGTCTACAGACAACTGAGAAACCAAGATAAAGAGGCCTCCCAATTTAGGGAGGAGCGAGACTATGATAAGAACGTGTGTGTGTATGTATGTGTGTGTGTGTGTGTGTGACCTGATGGTCAGGAGAGCAGTTTTCAAGTGGAAAACTACAGCCCGCCTAAAGAGGTGTGGGATTTTTGTATGACGTGTGTGTATAAAAGATGGACCCTGAAATTGTGATAACAGAATTCTCTGAATAAAGACCTGGCTATTGCACTAAGGCTCTGTCCGTTTCTTGATCCAAAAGCCTTACAATCTTTTGGGAGACGCACAGAGACACTGAAATAGTTAGTTAATAAATTATCTTAACAGTACCATACTCACTTTTGCATCTTTATAAGTTTGATACCTCCAGGATGCTGCTCTTGCTGTCATCTGCCCACTAGCAAGTCTGTCAACTGCACTCTACAATGTGGAGTGGAGCAAAGGGGGAGAGTTGTCACATTTTCCATGCATGCTACCATGCTTCAAGAATATCAGATCTGCAACACAACACTATATATTCTAAGAAAAAATTCCATTAACTTTCCCAATATTTCCGGGTTTTTTCCAGAAATCCTAGGTGGAAGATTCACAGAATCAAGAGGGAATAAGCAGGAAATCCTGGAAACCTCATACCGGGATTTCTGGAAAACCTGGGAATTTTCTACCATAATTCTAAGCATCTTTTTGGGGGACTCATTGCAAATGCATATACACGAGCATGCAGTCTGACCTTCACAGTCTGCGGTGAAAAAGCAACAGGAACTACAGCAGGTTGTTGGACCACTGATGTTGACATCCGGGATGCTGCTCCTGTTGTTGTTGTGGCAGGCTCACCTTTTGGTTTGGCACCGAGTCTGCCAACTGCACTCTACAATGGAGACGAGAAAAGGACAGAGAGGTGTCATAACACAGCGGTCATTCTCCATGCGTGCTACCATATTTTACACAGATCACACCTGCAACAATATGCACTTTAAGCATATTTTTAGAGGAATGATGGTAAATGCATATGAGCAAGAGGGTGTAGGGTTGAAGTTGCCCCTGGGAGCTGATATGTTGTAAATTCTGCATTTTCCACTATTCTAGTTAAGGTTAGGATTGGAGAAGCTGATTGGGTGTTATCCAGATTTTCATATCATCATACTGTACTTCACACATCCCAGGATTTACTGTATTACCGGTTTAGTACACAAGGGGGCGCCAAGAAACGCTAAAAAGTCCATTGGGAGTCTATTACCAGAATGCTAACAAAATTAGCCCAAGTAACTTCCATGGAGGCTGCTAGCTAAATATGAAAAATGAAAAGATAGCAGTGGCAGCTGTACAGGTATCTCATCCAAAGGGCTTTGACTTCTAAATTACGGCAGAAAGCTAACACAATATGGTGCCACGTCACCTTTATTAATTCAGCCACTTACTTACACTGAACAAAAATAGAAACGCAACATGTAAAGTGTTGGTCCCATGTTTCAAGACCTGAAATAAAAGACCCCAGAAATTTTCCGTACGCACAAAGCTTATTTCTTTCAAATTATGTGCACAATTTTGTTTATATCCCTGCCAGTGAGCATTTCTCCTTTGCCAAGATAATCCATCCATCTGACAGGTGTGGCATATCAAGAAGCTGATTAAACAGCATGATCAATACACAGGTGCTGGGGACTAACTCAGTAAAATTGTTCAAATTGTCACGTTGTGTTTTATTTTTGTTCAATATAGATAACTAGCAGGTTAAACGTAGGCGTCGCGTTTTTCACACAGGAAAAAATAAGAAAACCCATAAGAAATAACTTTCTGCGTTTTGTAAACGAAGACCTAAAATGCTTCTTATTGTACATTGAACAAAAATATAAAACGCAAAATGTAACAATTTCAAAGATTTGACTGAGTTACAGTTCATATAAGGAAATCAGTCAATTGAAATAAACTAATGGATGTCCTAATCTATGGATTTCAGATGACTGTGACTACAGATATGCATCCGTTGGTCACAGATATAATTTTTTTTTTTAAGTAGGAACGACGTGGATCAGAAAACCAGTCAGTATCTGGTGTGACCACCATTTGTCTCATGCAGCGTGACACATCACCTTCGCATAGAGTTGATCAGGCTGTTGATTGTGGCCTGTGGAATGTTGTCCCACTCCTCTTCAATGGCAGTGCGAAGTTGCTGGATATTGGCGGGAACTGGAACACGCTCTCCTACATGCTCAATGGGTGACATGTCTGGTGAGTATGCAGGCCATGGAAGAACTGGGACATTTTCAGCTTCCAGGAATTGTGTACAGATTCTTGCGACATGGGGTCGTGCATTATTATGCTGAAACATGAGGTGATGGCGGCAGTTGAATGGCACGACAATGGACCTCAGGATCTCGTCACGCTATCTCTGTGCATTAAAATTGCCATAGATAAAATGCAATTGTGTTTGTTGTCCATAGCTTATGCTGGCCCATGCCATAACCCCACCGCCACCATGGGGAACTCTGTTCACAACGCTCGCCCACACAACACCATACAGCCATATATGGTCTGCCATCTGCCCGGTACAGTTGAACCGGGATTCATCTGTGAAGAGCACACTTCTCCAGCATGCCAGTGGCCATCGTCGAAGGTGAGCATTTGTCAAGACCATGGTGAGGGTGAGGACGACGAGCATGCAGATGAGCTTCCCTGAGACGGTTTCTAACAGTTTGTGCAGAAATTATTCAGTTGTGCAAACCCACAGTTTGATCAGCTGTCCGGTCTCAGATGATCCAGCAGGTGAAGAAGCCGGATGTGGAGGTCCTGGGCTGGCGTGGTTACACATGGTCTGCGGTTGTGAGGCCTGTTAGGCGTACTGGCAAATTCTCTAATACAACGTTGAAGGTGGTTTATGGTAGAGAAATTAACATTACATTTTCTGGCAACAGCTCTGGTGGACATTCCTGCAGTCAGCATGCCAATTGCACGCCCCCTCAAAACTTGAAATATCTGTGACATTGTGTTGTGTGACAAAATTGCACATTTTAGAGTGGCCTTTATTGTCCCCAGCACAAGGTGCACCTGTGTAATGATCATGCGGTTTAATCAGCTTCTTGATATGACACAGCTGTCAGGTGGATGGATTATCTTGGCAAAGGAGAATTGCTCACCAACAGGGATGTAAACAAATTCGTGCACAAAATCTGAGCTAAATAAGCTTTTTGTGCATATGGAAAATAGTAGGATATTTTATTTCAGCTCATGAAACATGGGACCAACATTTTACATGTTGCGTTTTATATTTTTTGGTCAGTGTAATTTCTGCTCAGACACATTTTGTGCTTCAGAAGCACTTCTCCACTAGGATGGGAATTCACAAACGGGTTTTCATTCTATCAGCAAAACAACTGACTGATGTGTAGCTCCTCCTTTTTTCCAGTTCTTTTCTCAGGTAAAATACCAGATTAACTTTAAGCAAAACATTGGGAAATATGATGCCCATGCATCGTTTTTGCAAAAAATACCTTGCTTTTTCATTGTAAGCTCATTTACTTGTGTGGCTGCCAGCTAAATAGCGTTGCACTTCTGTTGTCATCTGATGAAAATGAAGCTATTCTCTGCCGAATGTGTTGCACTAATGTATTTTCAGTGAAGGAAAACTATCGTTGCACGTCCCTTATCACTCTATTGAAGCAAAAAAACACTGTTGACTTTCAATACAAAACGCGACCCCTGTCAATACACAGCTGGACTCACCTGATCCTGCTTTCTCCCGTTGTGATATTTACAAACACATGTGACTGGCTCAACTGTTCTGGGGAACTACGGTAAACTTCATAATGTAAAATAATGTGGTGAAATGAAGAACGCGATCTGCTTCATCTCCTAATGTATTGCACAAGCTGACTGCAGGTATTTACTTAATAAGTAGCTACAAATATAAAAATGTATTGAAAAACATGTTAATACAGTATTGAAAAAACATCCTGTGGCTATTTCCATATACCCGGTATACGGTTTATATGGTACAGTGCCTTGCAAAAGTATTCATCCCCCTTGGCATTTTTCCTATTTTGTTGCATTACAACCTGTAATTTAAATGGATTTGGATTTGGATTTCATGTAGTGGACATACACAAAAAAGTCCAAATTGGTGAAGTGAAATGAAAAAATAACTTGTTTCAAACAATTCTCGCTGTTGGCTGGGCTCCCTGCCTGTGCCATTAAACCCCTACAACTCATCCAGAATGCCGCAGCCCGTCTGGTGTTCAACCTTCCCAAGTTCTCTCACGTCACCCCCCTCCTCCGCACACTCTACTGGCTTCCAGTTGAAGCTCGCATCCGTTACAAGACCATGGTGCTTGCCTATGGAGCAGTGAGGGGAACGGCACCTCCGTACCTTCAGGCTCTGATCAGTCCCTACACCCAAACGAGGGCATTGCGTTCATCCACCTCTGGCCTGCTGGCTCCCCTTCCTCTGCGGAAGCATAGTTCCCGCTCAGCCCAGTCAAAACTGTTCGCTGCTCTGGCACCCCAATGGTGGAACAAGCTCCCTCACGACGCCAGGACAGCGGAGTCACTCACCACCTTCCGGAGACATTTGAAACCCCACCTCTTTAAGGAACACCTGGGATAGGATAAAGTAATCCTTCTACCCCCCCCCCCCCCCCCCCCCCCCCCCCAAAAAAAAAAAAGTATAATTTTAAAGTGGTTATCCCACTGGCTATAGGGTGAATGCACCAATTTGTAGTCGCTCTGGATAAGAGCGTCTGCTAAATGACGTAAATGTGCCCTTGAGCAAGGCACTTAACCCTAATTGCTCCTGTAAGTCGCTCTGGATAAGAGCGTCTGCTAAATGACTAAAATGTAAATGTAAATGTAATTCAAAAAAATTAATAACGGAAAAGTGTTGCGTGCATATGTATTCACCCCCTTTGCTATGAAGCCCCTAAATAAGATCTGGTGCAACCAATTACCTTCAGAAGTCACATAATTAGTTAGATTGCACACAGGTGGACTTTATTTAAGTGTCACATGATCTGTCACATGATCACAGTGTATATATATATATACACACACACACACACACACACACACCTGTTCTGAAAGGCCCCAGAGTCTGCAACACCACTAAGCAAGAGGCACCACCAAGCAAGCGGCACCATGAAGACCAAGGAGCTCTCCAAACAGGTCAGGGACTAGATCAGGTCAGAGATTATATTAAAAGTACAGATCAGGGTTGGGTTATAAAAAAATCAGAAACTTTGAACATCCCACCATTAAATCCATTATTTAAAAAATGGAAAGAATATGGCACCACAACAAACCTGCCAAGAGAGGGCTGCCCACCAAAACTCACGGATCAGGCAAGGAGGGCATTAATCAGAGAGGCAACAAAGATACCAAAGATAACCCTGAAGGAGCTGCAAAGCTCCACAGCGGAGATTGGAGTATCTGTCCATAGGACCACTTTAAGCCGTACACCCCACAGAGCTGGGCTTTACGGAAGAGTGGCCAGAAAAAAGCCATTGCTTAAAGAAAAAAATAAGCAAACAGTCCTCCTGAGTGGCGCAGTGGTCTAAGGCATTGCATCGCAGAGCTAACTGTGCCACTAGAGATCCTGGTTCGAATCCAGGCTCTGTCGCAGCCGGCCGCGACCGGGAGACTCATGGGCGGCGCACAATTGGCCCAGCGTCGTCCAGGGTAGGGGAGGGAATGGCCGGCAGGGATGTAGCTCAGTTGATAGAGCATGGCGTTTGCAACGCCAGGGTTGTGGGTTCAATTCCCACGGGGGGCCTGTATAAAAAAATATGTATTCACTAACTGTAAGTCGCTCTGGATAAGAGTGTCTGCTAAATGACTAAAATGTAAAAAATGTAAATGTTCGGCAAAAGGCATGTGGGAGACTCCCCAAACATATGGAAGAAGGTACTCTGGTCAGATGAGACTAAAATTTAGCTTTTTGGCCATCAAGGAGAAACGCTATGTCTGGTGCAAACCCAACACCTCTCATGACCCCGAGAACACCATCCCCACAGTGAAGCATGGTGGTGGCAGCATCATGCTGTGGGAATGTTTTTCCATCGGCAGGGACTGGGAAACTGGTCAGAATTTAAGGAATGATGGATGGTGCTAAATACAGGGAAATTCTTGAGGGAAACCTGTTTCAGTCTTCCAGAGATTTGAGACTGAGACGGAGGTTCACCTTCCAGCAGGACAATGACCCTAAGCATACTGCTAAAGCAACACTCGTGTGGTTTAAGGGGAAACATTTACATGTCTTGGAATGGCCTAGTCAAAGCCCTGACCTCAATCCAATTGAGAATCTGTGGTATGAATGAAAGATTGCTGGATACCAGCGGAACCCATCCAACTTGAAGGAGCTGGAGCAGTTTTGCCTTGAAGAATGGGCAAAGATCCTAGTGGCTAGATGTGCCAAGCTTATAGAGACATACCCCAAGAGACTCGCAGCTGTAATTGCTGCAAAAGGTGGCTCTACAAAGTATTGATTTGGGGGGGTGAATAGTTAAGCACGCTCAAGTTCTGTTTTGTTGTCTTATTTCTTGTTTGTTTCACACACAAAAAATGTTTACATCTTCAAAGTGGTAGGCATGTTGTATAAATCAAATGATACAAACCCCCCAAAAATCCATTTTAATTCCAGGTTGTAAGGCAACAAAATAGGAAAAATGCCAAGGGGAGTGAATACTTTCGCAAGCCACCGCCCAAGCTTAAAGCTGATCCTAGATCTGTACCTAGGGGAAACTTCCCCCTGGATACCACAAGAGGCTGCAGTCTGACCTTCACAGTCTGCGGTGAAAAAGCAACAGGAACTACAGCAGGTTGTTGGACCACTGATGTTGACATCCGGGATGCTGCTCCTGTTGTTGTTGTGGCAGGCTCACCTTTTGGTTTGGCACCGAGTCTGCCAACTGCACTCTACAATGGAGACAAGAGAAAAGGACAGAGAGGTGTCATAACACAGCGGTCATTCCCGCATGCCCAGACCCCCATGCCCAGACCCCCATGCCCAGACCCTGCATTATTGTTTGCCACATGGCCTGAAACTGCACCATTTTGTTTCTCTCCCTAGCCCACGCACTTTCAATATTTCAATAATCATTCGATTTTTTCATTGTGTTAACGATGGAGGATTGATTGATTTCCAAGTTTTTAGTATACGTTTTTTAAGGCGAGTGATGAAAAGAGAATCGTCCAACCCACCGGGTATCTCACTACATCCTCATATGACATGTCTTGAAATATGCAGACAGACAGATTAAAAGTACATTTACAGTGGGGGAAAAAAGTATTTAGTCAGCCACCAATTGTGCAAGTTCTCCCACTTAAAAAGATGAGAGGCGCCTGTAATTTTCATCATAGGTACACGTCAACTATGACAGACAAAATGAGAGAGAAAAATTCCAGAAAATCACATTGTAGGATTTTTAATGAATTTATTTGCAAATTATGGTGGAAAATAAGTATTTGGTCAATAACAAAAGTTTCTCAATACTTTTATATACCCTTTGTTGGCAATGACACAGGTCAAACATTTTCTGTAAGTCTTCAAGGTTTTCACACACTGTTGCTGGTATTTTGGCCCATTCCTATCTCCTCTAGAGCAGTGATGTGTTGGGGCTGTCGCTGGGCAACACAGACTTTCAACTCCCTCCAAAGATTTTCTATGGGGTTGAGATCTGGAGACTGGCTAGGCCACTCCAGGACCTTGAAATGCTTCTTACGAAGCCACTCCTTCGTTGCCCGGGCGGTGTGTTTGGGATCATTGTCATGCTGAAAGACCCAGCCACGTTTCATCTTCAATGCCCTTGCTGATGGAAGGAGGTTTTCACTCAAAATCTCACGATACATGGCCCCATTCATTCTTTCCTTTACACGGATCAGTCGTCCTGGTCCCTTTGCAGAAAAACAGCCCCAAAGTATGATGTTTCCACCCCCATGCTTCACAGTAGGTATGGTGTTCTTTGGATGCAACTCAGCATTCTTTGTCCTCCAAACACGACGAGTTGAGTTTTTACCAAAAAGTTCTATTTTGGTTTCATCTGATATGACATTCTCCCAATCCTCTTCTGGATCATCCAAATGCACTCTAGCAAACTTCAGACGGGCCTGGACATGTACTGGCTTAAGCAGGGGGACACGTCTGGCACTGCAGGATTTGAGTCCCTGGCGGCGTAGTGTGTTATTGATGGTAGGCTTTGTTACTTTGGTCCCAGCTCTCTGCAGGTCATTCACTAGGTCCCCCTGTGTGGTTCTGGGATATTTGCTCACCGTTCTTGTGATCATTTTGACCCCACGGGGTGAGATCTTGCGTGGAGCCCCAGATCGAGGGAGATTATCAGTGGTCTTGTATGTCTTCCATTTCCTAATAATTGCTCCCACAGTTGATTTCTTAAAACCAAGCTGCTTACCTATTGCAGATTCAACTTTTAAGTTGCATGTATTTAAACTATCTACATTAGTCAGGCCAAAATTACTTTTTAATTCTGTCATGGAAATAAATACATGTATTTGCTGTTACCAAGTTATTTACGGTTTTCTATGCCTTTAGTTTTCTATGTGGACCAATTTATCTGTGAAATCTGAAATGCTATCCAAGGATGGTTCCATAAGGTTGTGTTTTCCGGAAGTGATATTTGTTTGTAGAATACGTTTCATTTTCTTCCATTTTGTTACAGTGTCCTTAACTATGAAGTTGTTAATGTTTTTAGCTTCATCCTTTGAAAAATGTACACTTAAAACGATTCTGGGGATGAGAATGCGCATCTTCAATATGTTCCCATTGTTCCTCTTTAATGCATTTATATGTCGCTAGTAAAAGCCCTGGGTAGCGAGTTGATGCAATTCCAAGTCTGGAAGGTTAAAACCACCCTCAGACTTAGATGTCAAACTTTCCTTTTTATTCTATGAATTGTATTTTCCCATATAAAGTCTTATGACCGAGTATACATTTTAAAGAATGTCTTTGGTGGGGTAGTTGGGATTATCTAAAATAAATACAACAACCATTCTAAAAGAGGTTTAATTTACCTGGAAGATTTATTGGAAGATTATTCAATTTAATTAGATCTACTTTCATAGAGTTGAGTAATGGAATAAAATTATCTTTATATTTGTTGTCACTTATTAAGCATCTTAAGTATTTAATATTTTTTTGTGGTCAATTTAAAGGATTGCTGTAGTTATTAATTTTATGTTTTCCATTGCCATTATTTGAGTTTTTCACTGTGCATTCTAAGCATATTTTGGGGGGACTTATTGCAAATGCATGTGAGCAAGAGGCTGCAGTCTGACCTTCACAGTCTGCGGTGAAAAAGCAACAGGAACTACAGCAGGTTGTTGGACCACTGATGTTGACATCCGGGATGCTGCTCCTGTTGTTGTTGTGGCAGGCTCACCTTTTGGTTTGGCACCGAGTCTGCCAACTGCACTCTACAATGGAGACAAGAGAAAAGGACAGAGAGGTGTCATAACACAGCGGTCATTCTCCATGCGTGCTACCATATTTTACACAGATCACATCTGCAACACTGGGCATTCTAAGCATATTTTTAGAGGAGTGATGGTAAATGCATATGAGCAAGAGGGTGTAGGTGTAACAGTGTTGCTTCCGTCCCTCTCTTCGCCCCTACCTGGGCTTGAACCAGGGACCCTCTGCACACATCGACAACAGTCACCCTCGAAGTACCGTTACCCGTCACTCCACAAAAGCCGCGGCCCTTGCAGAGCAAGGGAAACAACTACTTCAAGGTCTCAGAGCGAGTGACGTCACCCGATTGAAATGCTACTAGCGCGCACCGCTAACTAGCTAGCCATTTCATACCGGTTACATAGGGTTGAAGTTGCCGCTGGACGATGAGCTTGTGTAAGTTCTGCATTTTCCCCAATTATGGTTATGGTTAGGATTGGGGGAGGGGAAGCTGATCCTAGATCTGTACCTAGGGGAAACTTCCCCCTGGATACCACAAGAGGCTGCAGTCTGACCTTCACAGTCTGCGGTGAAAAAGCAACAGGAACTACAGCAGGTTGTTGGACCACTGATGTTGACATCCGGGATGCTGCTCCTGTTGTTGTTGTGGCAGGCTCACCTTTTGGTTTGGCACCGATTCTGCCAACTGCACTCTACAATGGAGACAAGAGAAAAGGACAGAGAGGTGTCATAACACAGAGGTCATTCTCCATAGAGATCGTCTTAAATTGCTAGAGGGGCTGTGTCATAAACCCTCAAGGTGTGGAAAAACATGACTGGCCTGCACAGAGCCCTGACCTCAACCCTATTGAACACCTTTGGGATGAATTGGAACGCCGACTGCGAGCCAGGCCTAATCGCCCAACATCAGTGCCCGACCTCACTAATGCTCTTGTGGCTGAATGGAAGCAAGTCCCTGCAGCAATGTTCCAACATCTAGTAGAAAGCCTTCCCAGAAGAGTGGAGGCTGTTGTAGCTGCAAAAGGGGGACCAACTCCATATTAAATGGAGGTCCTCTGTAGCTCAGCTGGTAGAGCACGGCGCTTGTAACGCCAGGGTAGTGGGTTCGATCCCCGGGCCCACCCATACACAAAAAATGTATGCACGCATGACTGTAAGTCGCTTTGGATAAAAGTGTCTGCTAAGTGGCATATTATTATTATTATATTATTAAATGCCCATGATTTTGGAATGAGATGTTCGACGAGCAGATGTCCACATACCTTTGTATGTAGTGTAGTTTGTCCATTCTATTATTCTAATTCCTAGTTCTATGACGCTACATGTTTACCTATATGAATCAGACCTGCATCACAACACTGCACTAGTATGGTTACAAGTACTACATTGCAAGCATTGTAGTTGATAAACTGCCCTGGCATGTGATATTTGATTATGAAACTATGACACAGATATTATACATTTTCATTGGTCCCCAATATTGGGAAATTGAGGCTTTGGGAAAAAACTAGCTGTTTAGCTAGCCGAATTTTGCATAATGGGGGCGCTAACGTTCAGTTTTGGTGGCAGTGTTTCTCAGGGAAATTCGCAAACCTACCAGCAACATACCACTTCCGGCCGCATTCACATTTTTTCGGTGTGGCTGAATTCTCTTCAAAATGTCATCAGTCCATGGAAATATGGTGGGAATCGCGGTGGATTTGAGCTTTTTCTTATGTTTGGCACCCATCAAATCCCTTTCATATTCCTCTGGTCTGAAGTGGTGTTCGCACACTAAGAAATGTTTATGCCTTTCCACTGGTAAATTGACATCCTTTTGTATAGCTGCTAACCATCGTCTGCATCTTTGCATATCATTCGCCGGCAAGCAATGATAAAGAATATCTTCATCTTCCTGTGTGTTACAACCCGGTACAGCACACCAACCCACCATTATCACTGTGCTATCAAGTCAGTTTCAATCGTCTCTCTTTGGTACACTAACGTTAAAGAGCCGACCTTTGGTAGTCTCCCTCTGCAGACGGGTGGCCTCCCACATTAACAATGTTCCAGCATAGGTCTGCACAGATACAACACAAATATATTATAAGGGATATAAATATCTGGATGCAAACATCCGTTTGGTATACTCAGAGACGGAACTGGGCGCGCAGGATATCCGGCTGTGTTACTACAACACCCGATTGTTGACGTTTAAAAAGGTTAAAGACGTCCTTCAGCGATTTTAAAACTTGTGCTGTTGAAAAGAGAATCCCATTATAAATACAGTAAGGCACACACACTAAAGGGTAAAAAAAAATGTTTTGAGCTAAATATATATATATAATTGCAAACTTCAAGGAGTAGGGCATTCAAGGATGGCTCCCCCTTGCTGGTTTCCACTAGTTACCACAGCCACAAATTCAAAATGGGCTATATCGAAAAAATGCATGAAAATAAAAAAATAGCTTTTTGGTCTTAATTTAAGGTGAAGTTTGGTTAAGGTTAGGGTATGGACTTCCCAAGGATCCCAGATAGCACTGACCGTGTTACATGCCGGACAGAAGTGATGCTCAGTTGGTAGAGCATGGCGCTTGCAACGCTAGGGTTGTGGGTTCGTTTCCCACGGGGGGCCAGTATGAAAATGTATTCACTCACTAACTGTAAATCGCTCTGGATAAGAGCGTCTGCTAAATGACTAAAATGTAACTGTAAATGATGCATAAATCTTCATTTCCGGGAGAATTTTAGCACAGTTTCTAAACCATACTCTACGGTCTTTGATTTTTAGCATTTTAACTAACCATAACCATTGTCCTAACCTTAACCTAATCATCATAACCTGCTAAGTTAATTATCCTAACCTGCTGCGTTAATTATCCTAACCTGTTGCATAAATTCTCATAACCTGTTACGAAAACTCACATCTGTTCATAGCTGTATACCATCTAGTACTGCGTTCAGCAGGACACAACGTTTTGGAACGTTCAGATATATTTTTAATATGGTATGTAGAATAAACATGCCTCTCCGACATGTAAAAAAAATGTTTTAATGGCATTTGTATCTGCAACTTTTGGCAACTGAAAGTGGCCCTGAGGTGTATTCACTACGCTGATTCTGTTGCAAAACGTCTGTTTTGCAACAAGAACGTTTACTCCAAACGGAAAACGTTTTGCAACAAAAACAAGTTTCTATTGGACAAATTCAGGTAGGTCCCGCCCCGTTTCGTTCATTTCCGTCGTAAGACGTAATGAATACACCCCACGTGTAAACATCCCCACCGGACACAATGGGCGCGTTCGACATTGCAGCCGACATTAAAGGCGAGACTGACTAATCTACAAATCACCTTGCATCATAAATAACTACTCTCTATTATTTGTAAATCAGTCAGTTGGTCACAAATGTATCGATACAGCACGGTTTTGAAGCTCTCGAACACGGCCAATGTGTGTGTGTAGTAGTAGTCCTATCACATAACATACTGTGAACCCATTATATGTCACTAAAAGGGATGTTTCAGTTTGAACTAAACATTTAACAGAAACTTCTGTCAAATGTATGGAAACTTCTCAAGCTTCCTTCCCACTGCCCATTGTGAATGAATGAGTGGCATTGCTTGTGTAGGTACATTAATCTGCAGTCCCTATTTCAGCTCTTTCAGATATGGGATAATTTATTTAAAAGGGTTTGATGAAGGTTTCATAATGAAAAATACACAAGTCAGTCCAAAATGTTTTATTTTGTAAGGAGGGAGGAGGAGGAGTTGAGAACATTTACTAAAGAATAATATATTCAACGGAGTAGCTGCGGGATCGCTAACCCTTACCATTACTAAAGGATAATTCATATATTCATCGGCGTGGCTGCGGATCCGGCTTTCTCGGGATCTGCTTCTGTGCATGTGCAGATTACGTTCTGTACACGTGTATATTATCTGCTCTAGTCGTAGAGAACAGGCTACTCAGACGAATGGTGCTCGTTTAATAAAGTTGGATAAAATCTGAATCAATGTCGGCAAGATCATTTAATGATATTATTCTACATAACAGAACGTCATCCGCACACGCACAGAAGCTTCGGGATCTTTAGTCAGACGAACTCGGAAAAGTCGGATCCGCAGCCACGAATGTCCATGACATTCAAGGGTAGTACGGTTGTTTGAATGAACTCCATTTTTTCACACACAAAATAAATCTTCATTCCAGCTGATTTTTTTTCTCTCTCCAAATGAAATGAAAATGAATAAAACGTTTATATAATATTATCAACAACAAATAATACAGTAAACACAATAAACCCTCAAGATGTCAGAAATGAAAACCATCACACAGAATGTAGATTGATTTTGTTGAGTTACTTTCTTGAGAAACATAAAACATGGTCAATGAATAGATGACACAAAGTCATATCAATTTTAGAGACATTTTCCAGGTGAATCCTTGGCTTTGTCCCAACTCTTTCCTCCCAAAGTGTGCACTTGTTCACTTCCCTTCACAGATTTGAATGGAAATGACGGGTTTAACAAATGTGGTTAAAACCGATGACTCCACCAATCCAATTTTTTTTTTTTTTTAGATGTGTGGGCACATTTCCACTGGATTTACCAGTGTTTTACCCAAACGGCTCAGACTTTTCTATTTCCATCTACTCGGGGCGGCACCCGTGTCTCATTGGGCTCCGGGGGGACCTGCTCTGACTGAATGAGTGCACACTTCAGGATAAAGGAGATATTATTGGGACATGCCCCTCGTTGCCTGCTCTGTCGGTTATCCTTGGAGCATTAATCCACAAGAGTTGTGTATTTGTTTTAGTCCTTTATTAGGAAATCTAAGAAACTGCTATAATTTGAAGACTGAGTGATGCGGACTAGCCCTAGACATTAGAAACAGACAGTGCATATTACATGTTGTTAGATAACTCGTGAAATTGATGACCCAAAATAAATTACATATCCGGAAACTATTCAACATGTGAGAGCTGGATGGATGGGGATGGTGAACCGAATGCAAGACCAGTCAAATGACTGACCATAAGACAGATCACTACACGGTGACAGCCATGAGTTCCTCTGGAGCCGGGGGTGGTTTGGGTGGGTCCAAGAGGTGCGGTGGTCTGGTGAGTAGAAAGGTCCCATAGTAGAAACTGCATTCTTAAACATGTGTCATACCTTAAAATGTCAGAGAGGAAAACACCCTCGTACTCATCAATATGATGAGCAGCCAAGTCACAAACCTCCCCCAAAAAGCTGTGGTCTCTTATTGCAGACGCTAAAAAAAAAATAAAAAATAAAAAAATACAACTCCAGATGTTTACGTTGGTTGAATGAAAAGGAAAAAATGAACTGCACGAGTTGGGGTGAGACACTTCGGCACAGGTAATTTTTTTTTAATTCCTGGAGCTAGAATTCTAAATATCCAAAAGTACTGGTCTGAAGGACCCATGTTGGTTAGGGTGGGGTGTCCGTGGGGATGCCTGCAGTAAAAGGCCCCTTAAACAGCAGCAGTATCCTGACAGGCTAACGCTATGTGCTCCCAGCAGCCTGGGTCTCCCCTCCCTCGGAGTTACCTGCAGGACAGAACACTGTTAAAATAATACAATCAGTGTTTTCCCAATATGCATTTAGCAGTGGCACACAGGAATCATTTTCTGGATGGTAAATTGTTTTCAGTGTAAACTTAAAAAAGGACTAAAACCAGATATTAAGAATGTAGAAAAGATAATGGAGCAATATAAAAAACTAATAAGATCATCTTTGAGAACTAACAATCACCTAAATAAAAACTAGACAGTCAGGTAGAATCTGAAATTCCAAAAATGTCATGGCATGGGGTCCCCATTGATTTTCTTATGTTTGAGTCATTTAGATAGCATAAGAACAAGGCATAAGCCATGGCAAAATGTGTAGAATTGCAGGAAATAGCTTTAAAACAGCAAAATTGTCTCTGCGGCAAAGAGGAGGTCCTCTAAAACCGTCCCTTTGGCCGCAGAGCAGCCGAACAGTGACTGGACACACTAGAATAGTAGGCTTTGGGCAGTATCCAGATTGTCATGACCTTGTGCCTTACCGGGATATTCGGTAATACCGGCACTGAACACGAGGGGTGCTATTTTCAAACCCCACTGAACCTCTGTAATCCGAAGGTTAGCAATGCTAACAAGTACATGTAAAATCCCATAGGGAATGCTAAATAAATGCTAACGAGCTCATTGCGAACATTTTTATACAGTCTCTGACCTAAAGTATTTGCAGAACAGACATCCCAGATAATAATGTTATACAAGTAACTCAAAAATGCTACTCACAATTTGCTGCACGCACAAAACAAATATTAGACAGCAAGGCTCTTGATCCAGGAGGGGATTCTCTGCTGTTACCAAGCGAATCTTGATTTTGAAAGTAGCTAACCACTTAGCTAACTAGCTACTAAATTAGCAAACCAACTGCAGAGCATTTAGCACATTTTAGACAGTTAACTTAATAGGTATAAGATATCTAGCTGGCAAACATTTAGTTGTGAATTCCATATTGTAACTAGATCACCTGTGCTGCACAACACAGTGACTCAAGGCTCCAGTATCTCGTCGCCATGTGCTTGTAAACAAACATCACGTGACCCAAGGACTACCGGTAAACTTCATTATGAAAAATGATGTGACGTGAAATGAAGAACGGGGGATCTATTGGACAAATTCAGGTAGGTCCCTTCCAGTCTCGTTCCGTTTAAGATTTTTTTTTGCAACAGATCGTCGATTGAATACACCCCAGGCCTCTCCCTAGTATTCTCTGTCAAGGTGGTGCTGATATAGGCCTAAGGTTGGGTAGGTCTGGAGGGGGTCAGTTAACTTCCCCCTCAAGAAGTTGGAGCATTTAGGTTCTTTTTTTTTTTTTTTTTTTTTTTTTTTGTCATTTAGCAGACACTCTTATCCAGAGCGACTTACAGTTAGTGAGTGCATACATTATTTATTTTTTCATACTGGCCCCCCGTGGGAATCGAACCCACAACCCTGGCGTTGCAAACGCCATGCTCTATCAACTGAGCTACATCCCTGCTGGCCATTCCCTCCCCTACTCTGGACGACGCTGGGCCAATTGTGCGCCGCCTCATGGGTCTCCCCGTCGCGGCCGGCTACGACAGAGCCTGGATTCGAACCAGGATCTCTAGTGGCACATTTAACCAGTAAATGCCATTTCCTGAAACCTAAAGCCTGAAATTATATCAAACAATGTAGCTAACACAGAAGTATTGTGTTTTATCCTAAATAAAATGGAGGTGGTCTCAATGACTCACATTTTTTGGGGGTTAAATTTAGGAGTAATGATTTTTCTAATTAATAGGTGTCTATGTGGATAGTCTACTGAAAATGTAAACTGGCTTCTAAAATTTTGTTTGGGGAGAAAATTCAGAATAATTCAATTGCTGGATGCAATGTAGTAGTTTAGTTTACTGTAGGCTTTCTGGAATATGAAACAACTGAACTATATGAGCTTGTATCAGATCTCCATCCCTGACCTAATCCATCATATTAGGTCTGACTACTAGGCTACCTAGTATTCAACATGCCTTGTCGTCATTGATGAACTGACTTATCATTACTTAGCAGCCTACTGTTGACATGCAGCAATGTCAAGAGGACAGATCAATAACTGTTTAATTAACATAGGCCTACTAATCGTTAACAATCCAACATAGCTTTATGTTAACGACGGTATTAGAGGAAAAGCTCTCTCTGCCATGTCCGTTTCCAGCAGCGACGCGCACTGAACTACCTCAGCACGTGTTTCCTTGCTCGTCAACGCGCTCCCGCCTACTACCGTTGCGGAGATCAAAGCATGTGCGGGCAAGAAAGTTATTTTAGTTGACTAAACGCTATAGCTAACTACCTTCGTCGTAATGACGCCTTAGCTAAGGAGCCAATTACGAAATAAGTGGTTATGTGCTTGACTAAGATACCATTTTGGAAAATGTATTTGGCAAACAGTTTGTTCGCCATTTTTCCTACCCTTTTTCCTCACAAACCATTGGTGTCAACGGACAAAGTGGAGAGCTGCCATCCAGCTCGAGGGAGGAAAACAGTACTACGACTATGTGGGGCGGGCCGGAGAGCTAGAGATTTTTTCTCCTCGCCCAAGTCCTCTGATTGGCTCAGCTCCAACTTCAGACGGTTGAGTCAAACACCACAATGTGCCAACTAGAAGCCTACTTTTGCGTATTTCATGGTAGTTTTTCATACCAGCGTGCTTTGATATCAAATTGCGTGCATGGTACGCAAAATGCGTGTGGGTTGGCAGGTCTGATGACTGGACACACTAGTAATAGTGACTGGAGAGATATGGGTAGACACACTGACTAAAAGTACACAAACAAGTACCACAAAGGCAGTTGACGAACCTTGAAGTCTCACAAACTGGGGGTTGAATGACACACCCACCCAACTAGAGAGGTCGCTAGGTACAGACCTGCTGCTGCGTTGTTGACCTGGTCTTCCTCATCGCTGTCCCCATCAGAGTGGGGCAGGTCAGCCTCGGGGACGTAGTCTGCAGCCGGGGTCTCATGGGGCTCCTGGTCCGCGCGGCTCTTCAGGGCCAGGATACGATGGTGCAGGGCTGCAGCCAGCTGACCCGTGTCCTTAGAACTGGCCTGTTAAACCAAATCAATTTTAAAAATCACATTTATTTTATAGAGCCCTTTTTTTTTACATTAGCAGTCGTCACAAAGTGCTTTACAGATTACCTAGCCCAAAACCCCAAAGAGTAAGCAATGCAAAAGAACAGCGGCTAGGAACTTCCTAGAAGGCAGGAACCTAGGAAGAAACCTAGAGAGGAACCAGGCTCCGAGGGGTGGTCAGTCCTCTTCTGGCTGTGCCGGGTGGAGATTTAAGAGTACCTGTGGCCATTACGGCCAGATCCATAAGGTACCACAAAGACAAGAGATAAACAACATCTGACAGACAACATTGTTTCCCCTATATACATTTAGCAGTGGCGTAGTTTTTTATTCTTTTTAAATTGTTTTAATAATTTTCCGGACTGTAAAAAGTTTTCAGTGTAAACTTTAACGACTAAAACCAGATATAAAGTATGTAGAAAAGATAATGGGAGCAATTTTTTGTTGTTGTTCAATAAGATCATCTTTGAGAACTAACAATCACTGAAATAAAAACTAGATCGTCAGGGAAAATGTCATGGCATGGGGGGGGGGGGGGCTCCCATTGATTTTGTTATGTTTGAATCACTCAGACACTGCAGCATAAGAACACAGCATAAGCCATGGAAAATGTGTAGAATTGCAGGAAATCTGCTTTAAAAACAGCAACATTTAGTCTCTGTGGCCAAGAGGGCCTCTAAAACCGCTCCATTGGCCACGCCCACTACAGGGGACGGTGCTGTATGTGTGATGACCATAACATGACGCAGGTTAGGGGATGGTGCTGTATAGGTGATGACCATAACATGACGCAGGTTAGGGGATGGTGCTGTATGTGTGATGACCATAACATGACGCAGGTTAGGGGATGGTGCTGTATGTGTGATGACCATAACATGACGCAGGTTAGGGGATGGTGCTGTATAGGTGATGACCATAACATGACGCAGGTTAGGGGATGGTGCTGTATAGGTGATGACCATAACATGACGCAGGTTAGGGGATGGTGCTGTATAGGTGATGACCATAACATGACGCAGGTTAGGGGATGGTGAAGTATAGGTGATGACCATAACATGACGCAGGTTAGGGGATGGTGCTGTATGTGTGATGACCATAACATGACGCAGGTTAGGGGATGGTGAAGTATAGGTGATGACCATAACATGACGCAGGTTAGGGGATGGTGAAGTATAGGTGATGACCATAACATGACGCAGGTTAGGGGATGGTGCTGTATAGGTGATGACCATAACATGACGCAGGTTAGGGGATGGTGCTGTATGTGTGATGACCATAACATGACGCAGGTTAGGGGATGGTGCTGTATAGGTGATGTCCATAACATGACGCAGGTTAGGGGATGGTGCTGTATGTGTGATGACCATAACATGACGCAGGTTAGGGGATGGTGCTGTATAGGTGATGACCATAACATGACGCAGGTTAGGGGATGGTGCTGTATAGGTGATGACCATAACATGACGCAGGTTAGGGGATGGTGCTGTATGTGTGATGACCATAACATGACGCAGGTTAGGGGATGGTGCTGTATGCGTGATGTCCATAACATGACGCAGGTTAGGGGATGGTGCTGTATGCGTGATGACCATAACATGACGCAGGTTAGGGGATGGTGCTGTATGTGTGATGACCATAACATGACGCAGGTTAGGGGATGGTGCTGTATAGCTGATGACCATAACATGACGCAGGTTAGGGGATGGTGCTGTCTGTTTGATGCAGACAAGGGGATGGTGTCGTACCGATATTAGGAACACTTTGACCCCCTGGTCCTCTGTGTCCATGGCGGTGATGCGGACGCTCTTCTCGCTGGCCTTGTCCACCTGCATCTGGGGCCACAGCTTGGTGTTCAGGATCAACCTTAAGCTGCCCTGGGTCCGCATCACTGGGGAACAGATATTTACAGGGTAGTTAGACAGATCACTGGGGAACAGATATTTACAGGGTAGTTAGACAGATCACTGGGGAACACATATTTACAGGGTAGTTACAGACAGATCACTGGGGAACACATATTTACAGGGTAGTTACAGACAGATCACTGGGGAACAGATATTTACAGGGTAGTTACAGACAGATCACTGGGGAACACATGTACAGTGCATTCGGAAAGTATTCAGACCCCTTGACTTTTTCCACTTTGTTACGTTACAGCCTTATTCTAAAATGGATTAAATTGTTTTTTTTTTCTCCCCTCATCAATCTACACACATAATGACAAAGCAAAAACAGGTTAAGAAATTCTGCAAATGTATGAAATAAAAATAACATTAAATATCACATTTCCATAAGAATTCAGACCCTTTACTCAGTACTTTGTTGAAGCGCCTTAGGCAGCGATTACAGCCTCGAGCATTCTTGGGTATGACGCTACAAGCTTGGCACATCTGTATTTGGGGATTTTCTCCCATTCTTCTCTGCAGATCCTCTCAAGCTCTGTCAGGTTGGATGGGGAGCATTGCTGCACAGCTATTTTTAGGTCTCTCCAGAGATGTTCAAGTCCGGGCTCTGGCTGGGCCTCTCAAGGATATTGAGAGACTTGTCCCGAAGCCACTCCTGCGTTGTCTTGGCTGTGTGCTTAGGGTTGTTGTCCTGTTGGAAGGTGAACCTTTGCCCCAGTCTGAGGTCCTGAGTACTCTGGAGCAGGTTTTCATCAAGGATCTCGCTGTACTTTGCTCTGTTCATCTTTCCCTTGATCCTGCCTAGTCTCCCAGTCCCTGCTGCTGAAAAACATCCCCACAGCATGATGCTGCCAACACCATGCTCCACCGTAGGGATGGTGCCAGGTTTCCTCCAGATGTGACGCTTGGCATTCAGGCCAAAGAGTTCAATCTTGGTTTCATCAGACCAGAGAATCTTGTTTCTCATGGTCTGAGAATCCTTTAGGTGCCTTTTGGCAAACTCCAAGCAGGCTGTCAAGTGCCTTTTACTGAGGAGTGGCTTCCGTCTGGCCACTCTACCATAAAAGGCCTGATTGGTGGAGTGCTGCGCTGCAGAGATGGTTGTCCTTCTGGAAGGTTCTCTCATCTTCACAGAGGAACTCTGGAGCTCTGTCAGTGACCATCAGGTTCTTGGTCACCTCCCTGACCAAGGGCCTTCTCCCCCGATTGCTCAGTTTAGCCAGGCGGTCAGCTCTAGGAAGAGTCTTGGTGCTTCCAAACTTCTTCCATTTTAAGAATGATGGTGGCCACTTGTTCTTGGGGACCTTCAATGCTGCAGAAATGTTTTGGTACCCTTCCCCAGATCTGTCCCTCGACACAATCCTCGGAGCGCTACGGACAATGCCATCAACCTCTTGGCTTGATTTTTGCTCTGACATGCTCTGTCAACTGTGGGACCTTATACAGACAGGCGTGTGCCTTACCAAATTTACATTTACATCATTTAGCAGACGCTCTTATCCATTATCTTATACAAATTGAACATGTCCAATCAATTGAATTTACCACAGGTGGACTCCAATCAAGTTGTAGAAACATCTCAAGGACGATCAATTGAAACAGGATGCACCTGAGCTGAATTTTGAGTTTCATGGCAAAGGGTTTGAACACTTATGTAAATAAGGTATGTTTTTATTTTTAATACATTTGCTAAAAAAATTTAAAACCTGTTTTCGCTTTGTCATTATGGGGTATTGTGTGTAGATTGAGGAATTTTATAATTTTTTTATTTAATCAATTTTAGAATAAGGCTGTAACGTAACAAAATGTGGGGTCTGAATACTTTCCAAATGCACTGTATACAGGGTAATTATAGACAGATCACTGGAGAACACCGATATATACACTACCAGTCAAAAGTTTGGACACACCTACTCATTCAAGGGTCTTTCTTTAGTTTTACATTGTAGAATAATAGTGAAGACATCAAAACTATGAAATAACACATATGGAATCATGTAGTAAGCAAAAAAAAAAAGTGTTAAACAAATCCAAATATATTTTATATTTGAGATTCTTCAAATAGCCACCCTTTGCCTTGATGACAGCTTTGCACACTCTTGGCATTCTCTCAACCAGCTTCACCTGGAATGCTTTTCCAACAGTCTTGAAGGAGTTCCCACATATGCTGAGCACTTGTTGGCTGCTTTTCCTTCACTCTGCGGTCCGACTCATCCCAAACCATCTCATTTGGGCAAATATTGCACAATCCAGGTGTGCAAAGGTCTTAGAGTATTGCCCAGAAAGACTCTCAGCTGCAATCACTGCCAACATTTTCTAAAAACCTGTTTTCACTGTCATTATGAGGTACTGTGTGTAGATGGGTGAGAAAAAATATACATTTAATCCATTTTGAATTCAGGCTGTCACAACAAAATGTGGAATAAGTCAATGGGTATGAATACTTTCGGAAGACATTATCCTCCTTCAATCCATTTTGGGACCGTTCAATCCCAATAACCATGATGACTGTGGTCGGTTCTTAGGAAGGGCTTGTGAGTTATATCCTGTAAGTTACTGAGACAAACAACCCTTCACGAGGTGTGCGTGTGTGTCTGTGTACTTACCTAGACGTGACTGTAATGATCCGTCATCTGTGGATGCCATGTCATTGAGCCTGAGCAGTCCTCGACCTCGCTCTATCCACGACTGGGCCGTCATGTCAAACACAAACAACTTGCACTGGACCTGAGGGAGGGAAAAGCAACATTAAAACACTTGCTTGGGGGAGGGGGACGGGGTTTATGTATCAAGCGTCTAGGTGTACTGATCTAGGATCAGGTCCTCCTTGTAATCTAATACAGTCGTGGTCAAAAGTTTTGAGAATGACACAAGTATTGGTCTTCACAAAGTTCGCTGCTTCAGTGTTTTTAGATATTTTTGTCAGATGTTACTATGGTATACTGAAGTATAATTACAACCATTCCATTAGTGTCAAAGGCTTTTATTGACAATTACATTAAGTTTATGAAAAGGAGTCAATATTTGCAGTGTTGACCCTTCTTTTTCAAGACCTCTGCAATCCGCCCTGGCATGCTGTCAATTAACTTCTGGGCCACATCCTGACTGATGGCAGCCCATTCTTGCATAATCAATGCTTGGAGTTTGTCAGAATTTGTGCGTTTTTGTTTGTCCACCCGCCTCTTGAGGATGGACCACAAGTTCTCAATGGGATTAAGGTCTGGGGAGTTTCCTGGCCATGGACCCAAAATGTCGATGTTTTGTTCCCCGAGCCACTTAGTTATCACTTCTGCCTTATGGCAAGGTGCTCCATCATGCTGTAAAAGGCATTGTTCGTCACCAAACTGTTCTTGGATGGTTGGGAGAAGTTGCTCTCGGAGGATGTGTTGGTACCATTCTTTATTCATGGCTGTGTTCTTAGGCAAAATTGTGAGTGAGCCCACTCCCTTGGCTGAGAAGCAACCCCACACATGAATGGTCTCAGGATGCTTTACTGTTGGCATGACACAAGACTGATGGTAGCGCTCACCTTGTCTTCTCCGGACAAGGTGTTTTCCGGATGCCCCAAACAATCGGAAAGGGGATTCATCAGAGAAAATGACTTTACCCCAGTCCTCTGCAGTCCAACCCCTGTACCTTTTGCAGAATATCAGTCTGTCCCTGATGTTTTCCCTGGAGAGAAATGGCTTCTTTGCTGCCCTTCTTGACACCAAGCCATCCTCCAAAAGTCTTCACCTCACTGTGTGTGCAGATGCACTCGCACCTGCCTGCTGCCATTCCTGAGCAAGCTCTGCACTGGTGGTGCCCCGATCCCGCAGCTGAATCAACTTTAGGAGACGGTCCTGGCGCTTGCTGGACTTTCTTGGGTGCCCTGACACCTTCTTCACAACAATTTAACCTCTCTCCTTGAAGTTCTTGATGATCCGATAAATGGTTGATTTAGGTGCAATCTTACTAGCAGCAATATCCTTGCCTGTGAAGCCCTTTTTGTGCAAAGCAATGATGACGGCACGTGTTTCCTTGCAGGTAACCATGGTTAACAGAGGAAGAACAATGATTTCAAGCACCACCCTCCTTTTAAAGCTTCCAGACTGTTATTCTAACTCAATCAGCATGACAGAGTGATCTCCAGCCTTGTCCTCGTCAACACTCTCACCTGTGTTAACGAGAGAATCACTGACATGATGGCAGCTGGTCCTTTTGTGGCAGGGCTGAAATGCAGTGGAAATGTTTTTTTTGGGGGGGGAGATTAAGTTCATTTTCGTGGCAAAGAGGGACTTTGCAATTAATTGCAATTCATCTGATTACTCTTCATGACATTCTGGAGTATATGCAAACTGCCATCATCAAAACTGAGGCAGCAGACTTTGTGAAAATTAGTATTTGTGTCATTCTCAAAACTTTTGACCACGACTGTACATTATGATCTAATAGGCATAACTGATCCTAGATCAGCACTCCTACTCTGGGTTGTTTTGTGACTATTGCACCCTGATGTATTCCTACATAGTCAGCAACAGAGACTGGCCACCGACCTGTAAAACGTTACTTTCTGATTCCTCTCCAGTTCTGACGTCTACTTTCTCTAAGATGCATTTCTTGGCTGTGGCTTTGGTGTACGCTGCTGCAGACTCCTCCAGTGACTCTGTCACGTTGTTACCTGTGATCACACGCGCACACAAAACCAGATAAGGACGCACATCTAACTAATTAACACACTGGGGCCAGCACTGGATTGTAGTGAAGATTGAGAAGCCAGTCTCTCAAGAGTTATAGCTCAATTGGTAGAGCATGGCGCTTGTAACGCCAAGGTAGTGGGTTCGATCCCCGGGACCATCCATACGTAAAAATGTATGCGCACATGACTGTAAGTCGCTTTGGATAAAAGCGTCTGCTAAATGGCATATTATTATTATATTATTATCCTGCGAGACATCAGTGTGTATGTGTCTTACCCTTCTCTGGTGTGTTTTCCTTTGAGGAGGGTTCAGACACAGGGGGAGCCGGTAAGTCTTTACAGTCCTCCTCTGATGCTTCACCTCCTCTAAGAGGACTCTGAAAAAAACACAGTACGCCGTCAGTCAACCGCGCAGTACGCCGCCAGTCAACCGCGCAGTACTCCGCCAGTCAACCGCGCAATACGCCGCCAGTCAACCGCGCAATACGCCGCCAGTCAACCGCGCAGTACGCCGCCAGTCAACAGCGCAATACGCCGTCAGTCAACCGCGCAGTACTCCGCCAGTCAACCGCGCAGTACGCCGCCAGTCAACCGCGCAATACGCCGCCAGTCAACAGCGCAATACGCCGTCAGTCAACCGCGCAGTACTCCGCCAGTCAACCGCGCAGTACGCCGCCAGTCAACAGCGCAATACGCCGTCAGTCAACCGCGCAGTACTCCGCCAGTCAACCGCGCAGTACGCCGCCAGTCAACCGCACATTGTCTCGACAGTTCAATAATAAAGTCCACTCCTACAATACACTCCTGATAAGGGCACTCATTATGTGTGTGCACTGACAATAAGTGTGCGGTTTTCTAGTCCCAATTCAACCATATTCTATTTGCGTTGTCCTGATAACATTGTCCTGCATGATTGGAGTTACTGCAAGCTATCATAGCAGTCGCAGGCTGATCCATTTCTCAGGAGCCGTATCGATTTGGGTTCAACTGGGTTCGATCTACCACCAGCTCTACTGTCTGTCATGGCTTGAAGGACAACATCACCACTAACCAACCAGTCTCTACTGTCTGTCATGGCCTGAAGGACAACATCACCACTAACCAACCAGTCTCTACTGTCTGTCATGGCCTGAAGGACAACATCACCACTAACCAACCAGTCTCTACTGTCTGTCATGGCCTGAAGGACAACACCACCACTAACCAACCAGTCTCTACTGTCTGTCATGGCCTGAAGGACAACACCACCACTAACCAACCAGTCTACTGTCTGTCATGGCCTGAAGAACAACATCACCACTAACCAACCAGTCTCTACTGTCTGTCATGGCCTGAAGGACAACATCACCACTAACCAACCAGTCTACTGTCTGTCATGGCCTGAAGAACAACATCACCACTAACCAACCAGTCTCTACTGTCTGTCATGGCCTGAAGAACAACATCACCACTAACCAACCAGTCTCTACTGTCTGTCATGGCCTGAAGGACAACATCACCACTAACCAACCAGTCTCTACTGTCTGTCATGGCCTGAAGGACAACACCACCACTAACCAACCAGTCTCTACTGTCTGTCATGGCCTGAAGGACAACACCACCACTAACCAACCAGTCTCTACTGTCTGTCATGGCCTGAAGGACAACACCACCACTAACCAACCAGTCTCTACTGTCTGTCATGGCCTGAAGGACAACATCACCACTAACCACCAGTCTCTACTGTCTGTCATGGCCTGAAGGACAACACCACCACTAACCAACCAGTCTCTACTGTCTGTCATGGCCTGAAGGACAACACCACCACTAACCAACCAGTCTCTACTGTCTGTCATGGCCTGAAGGACAACATCACCACTAACCAACCAGTCTCTACTGTCTGTCATGGCCTGAAGGACAACATCACCACTAACCAACCAGTCTCTACTGTCTGTCATGGCCTGAAGGACAACATCACCACTAACCAACCAGTCTCTACTGTCTGTCATGGCCTGAAGGACCACTAACCAACCAGTCTCTACTGTCCGTCATGGCCTGAAGGACAACATCACCACTAACCAACCAGTCTCTACTGTCTGTCATGGCCTGAAGGACAACATCACCACTAACCAACCAGTCTCTACTGTCTGTCATGGCCTGAAGGACAACATCACCACTAACCAAACAGTCTCTACTGTCTGTCATGGCCTGAAGGACAACACCACCACTAACCAAACAGTCTCTACTGTCTGTCATGGCCTGAAGGACAACATCACCACTAACCAACCAGTCTCTACTGTCTGTCATGGCCTGAAGGACAACACCACCACTAACCAACCAGTCTCTACTGTCTGTCATGGCCTGAAGGACAACACCACCACTAACCAACCAGTCTCTACTGTCTGTCATGGCCTGAAGAACAACATCACCACTAACCAACCAGTCTCTACTGTCTGTCATGGCCTGAAGGACAACATCACCACTAACCAAACAGTCTCTACTGTCTGTCATGGCCTGAAGAACAACATCACCACTAACCAAACAGTCTCTACTGTCTGTCATGGCCTGAAGGACAACATCACCACTAACCAACCAGTCTCTACTGTCTGTCATGGCCTGAAGGACAACATCACCACTAACCAAACAGTCTCTACTGTCTGTCATGGCCTGAAGGACAACATCACCACTAACCAACCAGTCTCTACTGTCTGTCATGGCCTGAAGGACAACACCACCACTAACCAACCAGTCTCTACTGTCTGTCATGGCCTGAAGGACAACATCACCACTAACCAACCAGTCTCTACTGTCTGTCATGGCCTGAAGGACAACATCACCACTAACCAACCAGTCTCTACTGTCTGTCATGGCCTGAAGGACAACACCACCACTAACCAACCAGTCTCTACTGTCTGTCATGGCCTGAAGGACAACACCACCACTAACCAACCAGTCTACTGTCTGTCATGGCCTGAAGGACAACACCACCACTAACCAACCAGTCTCTACTGTCTGTCATGGCCTGAAGGACAACACCACCACTAACCAACCAGTCTACTGTCTGTCATGGCCTGAAGGACAACATCACCACTAACCAACCAGTCTCTACTGTCTGTCATGGCCTGAAGGACAACATCACCACTAACCAACCAGTCTCTACTGTCTGTCATGGCCTGAAGGACAACATCACCACTAACCAACCAGTCTACTGTCTGTCATGGCCTGAAGAACAACATCACCACTAACCAACCAGTCTCTACTGTCTGTCATGGCCTGAAGGACAACATCACCACTAACCAAACAATCTACTGTCTGTCATGGCCTGAAGGACAACATCACCACTAACCAAACAGTCTCTACTGTCTGTCATGGCCTGAAGGACAACATCACCACTAACCAAACAGTCTCTACTGTCTGTCATGGCCTGAAGGACAACATCACCACTAACCAACCAGTCTACTGTCTGTCATGGCCTGAAGGACAACATCACCACTAACCAAACAGTCTCTACTGTCTGTCATGGCCTGAAGGACCACTAACCAACCAGTCTCTACTGTCCGTCATGGCCTGAAGGACAACACCACTGCCAAACAAACAGTCTCTACTCACCAGGACCCTCTCTGACATGTTCTGTCCAAAGACAAATTTGGCCCCCTTGTCCGTATTGTTTGTGGCGTTCTTTGAACTGGAAGGGTGAAAATAAGAACATTAAGTTATTAGTACATTAGTCTTACAATTAATGCTTTAAACTAAGGTAGCTAAAACCATCATATTACGATTATTATAAGTAAAACCTTCGAAATAGTGAAAAGACGTGCAACTCTGTCAGAGTAAAGTGGTCTGAAAATCCAGTGATATAAGTATTTCTACTCTGAAGACACTACATTACCTGGCGGTGGAAATGTACTCTAAGAAATAGTTAGTTCCCTCCTTCTGAGAGGCCAGGGGCAACGACTTGCCGTCTTTAGTGTTCTCTTCCAACTAGAGAGACAGAGAGAGAGAGAGAGAGAAGACAGAGAGAGCGGTGGAGAGAGAGAGAGAGAGAGAGAGCGGTGGAGAGAGAGAGAGCGGTGGAGAGAGAGAAAGAGAGAGAGAGAGAGAGAGGGTGGAGAGAGAGAGAGAGAGAGTGGAGAGAGAGAAGAGAGGAGAGAGAGAGAAGAGAGAGAGAGAGAGAGAGGAGAGAGATACTCTTCTCTCTCCTCTCTTCCTCTAGCTTTCTTTCTCTCTCTCTCTCTCTCTCTTTCTCTCTCTCCTCTCTCTCTCTCTTCTTATCTCTCTCCTCCCTCTCTAGCTCTCTCTCTCTCTCTCTTGATTCATCTCTTTTCTCATAGACCTCTTTTTTCTCTTCTGTTTCTCGCTTTTTCTCTCTCTCTCTCTTTTTCTCTATCTCGCTTTTTTCTCTCTCCATCTCGCTTTTCTTTTCTCTCTCCGTTTTTTTGTCTCTCTTCTTTTGTGTTTCGCTGCTCGTGGGTTGTCTCACTTTTTCTACTCGTCCTGTTTGTCTCTCTCTTTTGATTCTCTCCGCTTGGTTGTTGACTCTGCGTGAGACTTTGGTCTAGAGCCGTCGTTTCTCTGCTTTTGTTAAGTACTACTCTACGTTTTGTCTCGTCTGTTCATTATTCTCGTGTCGTCCTCACTTTTACTCTTTCTCTCTCTCTCTATGTGGTGCTCTCTACTGAGCTCTCTGACCTCTTCCTCAACACTTCTTCTCGATTGTCATATTCTCTTTCTACGTCTGACTCATTGTTCTCTCAATCTACTCCTTATCCCTCGTTACTTCGATCCTCTGTGCGTTTGTCTGTGACCTTTCAATTTCCAAGACAATGAATTATTTTCAACTGGAATTGGCCGGCTATGTAAAAAAACAATTAATGACACTTGCTACCCCCTAAACAGCCTTTTATTAATATGTTTTCGCGTCCTGGTGGGTATAAAGGGTGTAGGTGAGACAATAAATGAAATGAAACAACAATTTTTTCATTGAGTGCCCTGTGCACCCCCTACAATGTTTATACTATGTGGTGTTCGGGTCCACTGGCCCTGGGGGTGTGTGTGTCGGTGCTCTTTTTCTGTGTGCCTCACTCTGTCTTCCTCCTCCCTGGGCCTGCTGTTTCAACATAGCACCAAGAACCCTGCTGTCTCCCACTTTTCTCACACTCTTTACCCTTTGTAGTGTGTGGAACCTCACAATGTCTTGCGGGAACCTGCACAATGTTACTACAATACATTATTTCAATACATTGTTTCGATACATTGTAAAAAAAAAAAAAAAAAAAAAAACACTCTTTTCCCACACTCTACCCCAGCCAGGTGCAAATTGGGGGAGGGACACGACAAATAAATTGCTTTGCATGTGTGGCTCTTTACCACATTCAATCAGTATGGAGAAAATAATCACTGCTCAGAGGGCCTTAGAATATTGTTTTGCAGAGAGAGAAGCTAGTGTGGAAGGAGCGTCTTCCACTTTGAAAGATTAAGAATGTTCAGAATATGAGGATCATGTCTCTGGACCGCCTTCCCCTGTTTTACAACCCTGGGCCCAACGTTACTGTTGATGAGCAGCTTATGCCATTTATGGGCCGCTGCCCCTTCAGGCGGTACATACCGACTTGTGATGCTGCTTCATCATATGCGGGGAACTTGCAAGTGTATACGGGGAAGCCAGATGGAGGAGCCCCTGAGAAGAACCAAGGGATGCGGGTTGTCCTGGACGTGGCACAGGGACTCCATGGCCACAACATCACATGCTATAACCTTTTTTTTTTTTACTTCGCACAAGCTGGGACAGGAGGTCCTCAAGAGGAAGCTGACGATGGTAGGAACAGAACGAAAAAACAAGCCAGAGCTTCCACCTCAGCTGTTGAATACACAGAACCGGCCTATCAATTCCTCTAAGTTTGTGTTCACGGCCGACACGTCCCTAGTGTCATACGTGCCAAAGAAAGGCAAAAAAATGTGGTACTCATGAGTACGCTGCATAGGGATGGGAGAATCTGTGGACGGGAACATCAAAAACCAGAAATCATAAAGGATTACAATGCCACAAAAGGAGGGGTGGACAACTTAGACAAGCTGGTGACTGGCTACAGCTGCAAAAGAAGAACCCTACGCTGGCCACTTGTGATATTCTTCAACATCTTGGACATCTCGGCGTACAACGCGTTTGTCATCTGGATGGCGTTGAACCCAGATTGGAACAGGGGGACGCTCCAGAGGAGACGGCTCTTTCTCGAGGAGCTGGGCAAGGCATTGGTAAGACCTCAAATCCAGAGGAGGCAACATATCCCAAGGACTCCAGCTTCTGCAGCCATCGTGAGGAGGAGGATTCAGGAGGAGGATGCTGGCGCCCCATCCGCCCGACCCACAGAACCAACAACTCTAATACCGGAAGTAAGTGTGAGTGATGTTGTTGCATGTGTGTGTGTGTGTCTGACTCTCCTACCTTGGCCTGCTGTAACTATATATGTGAGTGAGATGTTAGTAAAATTCCTGAACTAAGTGTTTTCATCATTCTAGATTGCAGCCGGTAGCAACAAGAAGAGGCGCTGTGATGTGTGTGGACCCATGAAGGACAGGAAGTCACAGTACAGATGCATCAAGTGCAAGAAATACATTTGCAACACACACACGGTAAAACTCTGTCCCTCATGTGGTGTGTAGACCGGCCTTCATTTGTGTTCAATGGGGCTCATTTATCATTTCCATAAAATACTGTATGTAAAATGTGTCCTTCCAATTTGTTCAGTTCAAGGCAATAAACATCAATAGTGATGAAAACCTTGTTTCATTTATATTTGGTCAAGATAAACATGATTTATTCCACCCAGGTCTTGATTATAATTGATGTTTGTTTACAAAAATCTAATCGTATACAAAAAAAATAAAAAGATATAGCGCTTTTATTGAATAAATGTGATCTAGCAGAGGTAAATGGCAAATATGAACCATGTATGCTGTCTATACTGCTTGTAATTGATAAAAGGCAACATCTAAGTATTTTTACGTAAATTGTTATGGCTGTATTGTTTTAAAAACCCAACAAATGTTGTGGGTCCATCAGACCTGGGTGAATAACAAAAACATGAGGGTTAAATAGAGTATCAGCATCCTACACAAATATGAAGCGGTCATGACAAATAAGACAAACCTTTGCTCGGTCTTTGATATTTTGCCCAAACACGAAAGAGGACTCTGCAGGACAGTCGTCCTTCTCTCCCCTCGCGTCGTCTTCCTCCTCTTTGTCATGTTTCTAGAGGAGACAGATGGGAATTCAGCTTTCATTTGTTGTTGTTGTAAAAGGTATTTTTATTTTTATTTTTTACCAGAAATAAACAACTGAATGATTCTGACAGTAATAATATGGACTAAATCATATCCAAGAAGAAGGTCTCGGCAGTCACAACTTCATGTAACTACAGGCAAAATAAGTTGCCGCCATAGAGATGCATTAAATTAGCGTTCCACTTAATTATTTGGTTGCTGCACCGTTGCCACATTACACAAGCTTCTGTCTCTGTATGTTAAAACAGGACCAGGATCCCAGTCCTCACCGGGGACTTGTTGAGGCCGTCTGAGTGCTCCGTGTTGTTCTGGAAGACGTTTGACCCTTCGGACGTCCCGTCTGTCGACTTCTTCACCCCGTTAGTGGACTCGGAGTTGGTCTTGGCTGGTGGGGCCTGGAGCAAAGCTGGCCTGAGGACACTGCGCTGCTGCTCCTTGGGTTTCTGACTGGGGACGCCTGGAACACAATCTGCTAATGGATTGGATCTGAATGCCTTACAGAACTACTCCATTCACAACCATGTTCTATACTATGTCACACCTACCATGTACTATATCACACCTACCATGTACTATATCACACCTACCATGTACTATGTCACACCTACCATGTACTATGTCACACCTACCATGTACTATATCACACCTACCATGTACTATATCACACCTACCATGTACTATATCACACCTACCATGTACTATATTACACCTACCATGTACTATATCACACCTACCATGTACTATATCACACCTACCATGTACTATATCACACCTACCATGTACTATATCACACTTACCATGTACTATATCACACCTACCATGTACTATATCACACCTACCATGTACTATATCACACCTACCATGTACTATATCACACCTACCATGCACGACCAAGGACTACATCAAAACTACTACCATGCACGTCCATTCATATTAACATGCTGTAATACCATCTACTTTTACCATTTATTAGGGCCAGGACTTAGCCTGACCACTTCTCGTCAGGTGGTCAGGAAAAAACTCCTTGCCGTAAATCAACAAACACACACACACACACACACACACACACACACACACACACATACCCAGGCACTAATACCCACCTGAACTAGGTGCCTGCCCATGGATAAGAGTTGGTGGTTTTAAACGAAACCCTACCGGCTTCTCTTCTGGCCAGAGAAAAACAGAGGTACAATTGTTAATAAAAAGACCATAAACAAATGGCAGCTTTCAGTGTGTGGGGAGGGTACATTAATACGATCATTACATTTACATTTTAGTCATTTAGCAGACGCTCTTATCCAGAGCGACTTACAGTTAGTGAATACATATTTTTTTATACTGGCCCCCCGTGGGAATCGAACCCACAACCCTGCCGTTGCAAACGCCATGCTCTATCAACTGAGCTACATCCCTGGCATCATTAAACGTACACTGTGCATGAAGGGTGCTTTAGCCTGGACTTCAGTTTACAAGCATACAATCCATGTCACATACTGGAGATATAATGAGGGAAGCGTTTATGACGAGGAGGAACCATAGGAAGTAAACACTATGCCTCACCTGGCTCCGAGTCCTCGGAATTCCCAGTGGGAGACTGGCAGAAACTTGACGGCATGAAGACATTGTTCTTACTAGCAACTGCAGAGAGCAAGAGGCAGCGTTACACACAAGACAGGTTCCAGCACTACTCTTCATGAATCAAGTGAAACACGGTCAGCTTCTCTGATGTGTACTACTACCAGAATGTGAAGACGGGAACTGTGTTGAAGATGAAGTCCTCTCTCTTTTCACTGGAGGACAGTAGCCACCATCATCTTTGTCTGAATCTGAAACGAAAAATACTTAGCCTCCAGTTCACGTGATTAAAGAGCGACTGAACGCACCGATTCCGCATTTGTCTCCTCTGTTGCTCATTAAGAAAAATTAGATTTCAGTCTTTTGGGTGGGGTTTGATGTGGCAGTTACTGATGTTTGTCCCCCATGAGACGCCATAGGAACAAAGCCAGTATCACTCCTCAAAATAGTCAGAATGAATCTAAGATACATTTGGACGTTTTTGCAGAGGAGGTTTTAGTCACACAATCTAGTTAAGGTGTTTGGTGCAGTATTGCTCAAGTTAAAAAATGTGTGACGTCGTCTTATGTAAACAAAGTCTGATCCGCTGCTCTGCTGGTCAGTCTGTCTCACTGTCTGTGTTCTGCGGTAGGATTGGATAGAGCGCAATCACCGCAGCTGTGTATCCCCAGTTAGTGGACAAGTGAGCATTGACCAAATCAATTCAGTAATGACGAACTTACTTACAAAACTACGCTTTGGACGAGACTGCCTTTATGACCAACATTTTCCTATTTACACTTTGTACTACATTTTGACATTAGAATAAATGTTTGACTAATATCGATGCCAAATTGACGTTTCTCTATCAGCAAAGTTTTTAATTGCATTCAGTTGGGCTTTAATTAAGCAATAAGGCCCGAAGGTGTGGTATATGGCCAATGGCTGTTCTTAGGCACAACGCAACACGGAGTGCCTGGATACAGCCATTAGCCGTGGTATATATTTTATTGGCCATATACCACAAACCCCTGAGGTGCCTTATTGCTATTTTAAACTGGTTACCAACATAATTGTGTCATACCCGTGGTATACGGTCTGACATACCACAGCTTTCAGCCAATCAGCATTCAGGGTTGATAAACAACATGCCAGTTTAAAAAGCCCCAGCTTAGGAAATACAAAACCCCTCCTGGTAAACTAATTACAAGATTTATAACGACATCAATTTTAAGATTGGATGGAAAATATTAGGAAAAGTCTAATGGCCAAATCAGATACAGTGAGGGAAAAAAGTATTTGATCCCCTGCTGATTTTGTACGTTTACCTAATGACAAACAAATTATCAGTCTATAATTTTAATGGTAGGTTTATTTGAACAATGAGAGACAGAATAACAACAAAAAAATCCAGAAAAACGCATGTCAAAAATGTTATAAATTGATTTGCATTTTAATGAGGGAAATAAGTATTTGACCCCCTCTCAATCAGAAAGATTTCTGGCTCCCAGGTGTCTTTTATACAGGTAACGAGCTGAGATTAGCAGCACACTCTTAAAGGGAGCACTCCTAATCTCAGCTTGTTACCTGTATAAAAGACACCTGTCCACAGAAGCAATCAATCAATCAGATTCCAAACTCTCCACCATGGCCAAGACCAAAGAGCTCTCCAAGGATGTCAGGGACAAGATTGTAGACCTACACAAGGCTGGAATGGGCTACAAGACCATCGCCAAGCAGCTTGGTGAGAAGGTGACAACAGTTGGTGCAATTATTCGCAAATGGAAGAAACACAAAATAACTGTCAATCTCCATCGGCCTGGGGCTCCATGCAAGATCTCACCTCGTGGAGTTGCAATGATCATGAGAACGGTGAGGAATCAGCCCAGAACTACACGGGAGGGTCTTGTCAATGATCCTAAGGCAGCTGGGACCATGGTCACCAAGAAAACAATTGGTAACACACCACGCCGTGAAGGACTGAAATCCTGCAGCGCCCGCAAGGTCCCCCTGCTCAAGAAAGCACATATACATGCCCGTCTGAAGTTTGCCAATGAACATCTGAATGATTCAGAGGAGAACTGGGTGAAAGTGTTGTGGTCAGATGAGACCAAAATGGAGCTCTTTGGCATCAACTCAACTCGCTATGTTTGGAGGAGGAGGGATGTGCCTATGACCCCAAGAATACCATCCCCACCATCAAACATGGAGGTGGAAACATTACGCTTTGGGGGTGTTTTTCTGCGAAGGGGACAGGACAACTTCACTGCATCAAAGGGACGATGGATGGGGCCATGTACCGTCAAATCTTGGGTGAGAACCTCCTTCCCTCAGCCAGGGCATTGAAAATGGGTCGTGGATGGGTATTCCAGCATGACAATGACCCAAAACACATGGCCAAGGCAACAAAGGAGTGGCTTAAGAAGAAGCACATTAACGTCCTGGAGTGGCCTAGCCAGTCTCCAGACCTTAATCCCATAGAAAATCTGTGGAGGGAGCTGAAGGTACGAGTTGCCAAACGTCAGCCTCGAAACCTTAATGACTTGGAGAAGATCTGAAAAGAGGAGTGGGACAAAATTCCTCCTGAGATGTTTGCAAACCTGGTGGCCAACTACAAGAAACGTCTGACCTCTGTGATTGCCAACAAGGGTTTTGCCACCAAGTACTAAGTCATGTTTTGCAGGGGGGTCAAATACTTATTTCCCTCATTAAAATGTAAATCAATTTGTAACATTTTGTACATGCGTTTTTCTGGATTTTTTTGTTGTTATTCTCTCTCTCACTGTTAAAATAAACCTACCATTAAAATTATAGACTGATAATTTCTTTGTCAGTTGGCAAACGTACAAAATCAGCAGGGGATCAAATACTTTTTTCCCTCACTGTATGCAGATCTAGGCTTACCTTCTCCATCTTCTGCACTGGATCCATCAGCTGACCTCTGTAATAGAGAGCAGCACTAAATCAACTGGGCTTCTCAGTCTAAAAACAACCGAGTCAAATGATGAAGCTTAACAGTGAATTTCCATGAAGAAGGCCCATTCATTTCAATGAATGTGTGGGTGATGAAACAACACCATCTGACTTACCTTCTGTGCTTTATCTTTTTGGAACACAAACATCGGTGGCACTATGGCAGGCTTCTCTGTTTCAGAAGAAGAGGGAAAGCATGCTTCACCATACAGGAGAAGAGTACGCTTAAGTGACTTGTGTAGGTCTAATATAAAACAGACACCACATTGGTTTGTTTCAACAATACTTGTCTTGTCACAGTGACGGTTAAAACCAACCGTAGTGAGCGAACACACTGCAGCAGTCTTGAGTCGACAAGCTCTGTCGTAATGTTTTTGCAAAAAGCTAGGAGGTCTAGATCTGAGCAACCGATGTCCAGCACACTTGATTCTCTCTGTTTAACACAGGCATGTGTTTTCTAATTCTACAAAAGATGCTCAGTGACACTTATGGAAATTCAGGAATACTGTATTTAGCTAAGCCTAGGCTAAACCATAAACATGGTGAGCATTTCTGCCAACAAAAAAAAGAAGCCGACACATGGATTAAGACTTTATTTTCGCCTTCTTCCAAAGTAATGCTACACTGGTTCTACCACACAGCATAGCGATGCTCCCCACTCAGTTCAGACGCTTCTGAATAGACGCCAACCATTCATGATGCAAGGTCTGAGAATAAACAACTTTCATTACACAATCCTTCATTCCATTTTAATGAGGGGTTGATGTAAACAACACTGATCAGTTCAGTCACCAAAAACAACCAGAGCCTAGAATAGATAAGGGGCGTTATATTTCATTAAAAACCTGTATCTAAAGCAGATTAAGCTTCTTTTTTTTTTTAAGGACAAAAGGTGCATCAAACAAAAGCTATTTATATCCTATGGCTAGCTATTTATAGTCCATCTATCCTATGAGTGGCTCTTGTGTTGCATCTAGAAAAGTAGTCTACATGTATGGACACTACATTGACAAGAGCATTGGATTTGGACCATCAAAACACATGACCTAACTGAAGCCGACAGGACAACTAGCACAGCTGGCTCCTCTACAGGCCAGGGTCAGGGAGAGGACTGTCCTGCATTGTAAATAAACACAAGCACACGATACAGCTCAACGCCCACAATATTTTTAGCTTGACTGAAACAACTGTTGTCATAACAGTGACAAACAGTCGTGGTGTACGACACTGACGCCAGGCAGGGCAAATCAGTTTTGGTGCTTTCTCGTATATCATCAAAATTAATCAAGCATCACGTTTTTGGACTCGTTCAGCAGTTTTTACCTGACTAGATGTATATTCCTAAACCTTAAATGATAACGCCGCTGCTTCTTGTTGACAAGACATTTTGATAAATAGCCCAATGTCAAAACACAGTTTTAAAGTGTCCATATCAATACCAATATGCAGAAACAGTTTGTGATATTGAAAACAAACATAAAAATGTACTATCTACACATACAATGCCTTCAGAAAGTATCCATACCCCTTGACTTATTCCACATTTTGTTGCGTTACAGCCTGAATTCAACATTGATTAAAATGATTTCTCACCCAGCTACACACAACACCCCATAATGACAAAGTGAAAACATGTTTTTAGACATTTTTGCAAATGTATTTGAAATAAAATACTGAAATATCTAATTTACTTAAGTATTCACACCCCTTTGCTATGACACTCCAAATTGAGCTCAGGTGCATCCAATATCCTTTGGTCATCCTTGAGACGTCACTAAAACTTGATTGGAGTCCACCTGTGGCCAATTCAATTGTTTGGACATGATTTAGAAAGAAACACACCCGTCTATACAAGGTCCCACAATTGACAGTGCATGTCAGAGCAGAAACTATACCATGAAGTCCAAGGAAATGTCTGTAGATCTCAGAGATAGAGTTGTGATTAGGCATATCTGGGGAAGGGTATAAGACAATTTCTAGAATGTTGAAAGGTTCCAAGAGCACAGTGGTCACCATTAATGGTGAAATTGAAAAAACATGGAACTAACCAGACTCTGCCTAGTGCTGGCCGTCCGACCAAACTAATCAACTGGGCAAGAAGGACCTTGGTCAGGGAGGTGACCAAGAACCTAATAACCACTGACAGATCTACAGAGTTCTTTGGCTGAGATGGGAGAACCTGCCAGAAGGACAAAAGTATTTACAGCACTTCAATGTGGGCTTTATGGGAGAGTGGCCCGATGGAAGCCACTCCTGAGAAAAAGGCACATGACAACACGCCTGGAGTTTGCAAAAAGGCACATGAAAGACTACGAGCATATGGCAAAATATTATTTGGTCACATGAGACAAATTGTACTCTTTGGCCTGAATGCAGAACGCTACGTCTGGAGAAAACCAGGCACAGCCCATCTAACACCATCCTGCAAGGAAGAATGGAGGAAAATCCCCAAATCCAGATGTGCAAAGCTGATAGACATACCCAAGACTCAAAGCTGTAATTGCCGCCAAAGGTGCTTCTATAAAGTATTGACTCATTTCATTTTCAATACATTTGCAAACATTTCTAAAAACATGTTTTCACTTTGTCATTATGGGCTATTGTGTGTAGATGAATTCAGGCTGTCACAACAAAATGTGGAATAAGTCAAGGGGTATGAATACTTTGAAGGCAACAATAGTAATCATACTATATTTTTTTAAGGAGCACCTTAAACTGCACAAGCACCAAAAACCCTGCTGTTTTGACAAGTGGCAATAAATCACTCATCAATAAAGAGGGAAATAGGTGCTGCTGAAACAACCACAACTCAAAAAACGCATGGAAACTGGAGATGTTTTGTTACATCACTGGTTAAAAGGACAACCTGCATAACAGTCAGCTACATTTTGGAATGTTGCATTTTGATATGGTGGTCACCAAAACAGAAAGAAACGCAACACTGTTTTGTCAATCACGCATATCGATATCACGTTGAAATCAATTGCGCGAGAGGGTGAGATGAGGTGGTCCTGTTAAAACTAACACAGCACAAAAACCACACGGAATCTGGGAATAATGGGTAGGCTTACATCACTGGTTAGAGGACAGCTAGCTACGTCTTCAAGTGTACCGCAACACTTTTTTTGTTAATCACTTCCATCGATATCACGCTGAAATCAATAGAACAGGGGGGAAACGTTTGGGGTGTAGAGCGGTTTAAACTAACACTATTCAAAGGCCACTTTGAATAACTTATACATAGTTGGTTAGATGACAACTAGTTTTTTTTTTTTATTGGAATGTCGGATGTTGATTTCCGGAGGCTGCCATCACGTTAAAGGGAACAAAACACTTATGTCAACGTCAGTTAAAGCTGCAATATGTAACTTTTTGGCCGACGACCAAATTCACATAGCAATGCGTGCTATGGATCATTCTAATTGAAAGCTTATTTGTGCATTATTTCTATGCTTCCAGGTCTTAAGTTCGTTTTTGCGTCTTTTACTTTTCGGTTTTGTATACCAGCTTCAAATACTATATTTTTGGTTATGGAAAAATATTTCAGAGCAGTTTAGATGGTAAAATGATTCTCTATACTTGTTTGTTTTGTGACAAACTGAAATTAGGCGAACTATTAGAATTTAAGCAACCGGGAAATGGCGGAGCGAGTTCTGCATAGCGCATCTTTAACTATAGTGTCCTCCATAGCGTCTGTGCAGCAGCCTGAACGTTTGACGTTTCTAATAATAATAATAATATGCCATTTAGCAGACGCTTTTATCCAAAGCGACTTACAGTCATGCGTGCATACATTTTTGTGTATGGGTGGTCCCGGGGATCGAACCCACTACCTTGGCGTTACAAGCGCCGTGCTCTACCAGCTGAGCTACAGAGGACCACAACCATGACATAGCCACTGGCTTCCAATCAGATACATCAAAACAACTTAGTTAACTAGTGACATAATTTGGCTAACTAATATACTGTCACAGTCTAGTCAGTTTTAGCTAACTAACTTACAAACCACAACGCTAGCTAGCGAATTTGATTTTGCGTAAGATTAGGCTCACCCAGCAGACTTGTTAATTAGCTACTGTACTAGCTAGTCCTCCAGTTCCAAATGTGCAGCATTCATTAGCTAAGATTGCTAACTACATTTGCTAACTACCTCACTGGCAAGTGGGGTTTTGACAGATAGTTGGCTTTCAAGAGTTCAGGCTTTTATTGGCTAGCTAGCTGTCCTTGACAAATAACACTCCTGCTAAAGTTAGCCATAGCCCCCGCCAAGGAGTAGTGAGTCATTTCGCCGGCTAACGTTAGCTAGCTGATGAAATTGTTAGCTAGCTAACGTTAGATATGACTGTCACAAATAAGCAACCCACATAGCTAGGTAGGTAGCAAACATGCTTTAACGTACATTACTAACTGATTAGATATACCTTGCTAACACGTAGATAAAAGTACCAACATTTCTGATAACCTAACTAACGTTTGCCAGCGTCCCATCCCCGCCTAAATAGAGACGCTAGCGTTGTGTCTGAAAGCTAACGTTTTCTTTTGTATGCAACCGGAGTGGACTTTGTTTTTTCGTTCAACCGTTCTCTTGAAAGGCTGTGAAGCACTACTTTTAGCATACGGTACTTGAACTATACTTAAAACTTAATGTAGATAATTCAACGGTTTCGATTCCTCACACGGCCACTGCTCACCTTCATTTGCCAAGTCCGCCATTTTCCCTCTTTGCTCACACCCACAATCCACCGCGCAAAATAAGTGTAGGCAGAAGGAAACAAAGCGTGCAGAAGTAGACGCAGTCGCTCATTATCAATCACCAGTAGAACTTCTACTGGAAACGTAGAACATAATCAATATCTTCAATATTAACGTATGATTTGTCTTTCATTAGCAGCAGTTCAAAGTGTTATTTTCAGAGAGAGCACCATCCAAAGTAGCTTAATCCATTTGTGACTAGGCTATAGGAGATATGCCCCTAGGCTAAGGCCATCAACTCGATGAGGGAAACAGAGTGAAACAAACTTTGGGGTTCAGTTCAGAGATCTCATGGTGAGTGCGGTACCGCAGTTTCGCGGAGCCCCCGCAAGGTCTGACAAAGGACCTTTTTGGGGGGGGAAACGGAGAACGTCCTACAATTCTACACAGTTTGCAATGAGGCTGAGAGAAAATGTTGTTGTTTTTAAGCAAATGTCCTGCTATTCTACTAGGGCTGACCCCAATTAGTAGACTGGTCGATTGTTTGGTTGTTAGGCTGTTGGTAGACCAATATTGTTTTAGTGGAGCAGTAACAAATATATATAAATATTTTTTTATATATATACAGTACCAGTCAAAAGTTTGGACACCTACTCATTCAAGGGTTTTTCTTAATTTGTACTATTTTTTACATTGTAGAATAATAGGGAAGACATCAAAACTATGAAATAACACATACGGAATCATGTAGTAACCAAAAAAGTGTTAAACAAATCGAAATATATTTTATATTTGAGATTCTTCAAAAAGCCACCCTTTGCCTTGATGACAGCTTTGCACACGCTTGGCATTCTCTCAACCAGCTTAACCTGGAATGCTTTTCCAACAGTCTTGAAGGAGTTCCCACATATGCTGAGCACTTGCGCCGAATACAACAGGTGTAGCTCAGTTGGTAGAGCATGGCGCTTGCAACGCCAGGGTTGTGGGTTCGTTTCCCACGGGGGGCCAGTATGAAAATGTATGCACTCACTAACTGTAAGTCGCTCTGGATAAGAGCGTCTGCTAAAAGACTAAAATGTAAAATGTAACTGCTTACTTACAACCTACACTTCCTTCACTCTACCGTCCGACTCATCCCAAACCATCTCAATTAGGTTGAGGTCGGGAGATTGTGGAGGCCAGGTCATCGGATGCAGCACTCCATCACTCTCCTTCTTAGTAAAATAGCCCTCTCCAATTTGGACTCCAGACCAAAGGACAAATTTCCACCGGTCTAATGTCCATTGCTCGTGTTTCTTGGCCCAAGCAGGTCTCTTCTTCTTATTGGTGTCCTTTAGAAGTGGTTTCTTTGCAGTAATTCAACCATGAAGGCCTGATTCACACAGTCCCCTCTGAACAGTTGATGTTGAGATGTGTCTGTTACTTGAACTCTGTGAAGCATTTATTTGGGCTGCAATTTCTGAGGCTGGTAACGCTAATGAACTTATCCTCTGCAGCAGAGGTAACTCTGGGTCTTCCATTCATGTGGCGGTCCTCATGAGAGCCAGTTTCATCATAGCGCTTGAGGGTTTTTGCGACTGCACTTGAAGAACCGTTCAAAGTTCTTGAAATGTTCCGTATTGACTGACCTTCATGTCTTAAAGTAACGATGGACTGTCATTTCTCTTTGCTTATTTGAGCTGTTGTTGCCATAATATGGACTTGGTATTTTACCAAATAGGGCTATCTTCTGGCTCAAACACATTAAGAAGGAAATAAATTCCACAAATTAACTTTTAACAAGGCACACCTGTTAATTGAAATGCATTCCAGGTGACTACATCATGAATCTGGTTGAGAGAATGGCAAGAGTATGCAAAGCTGGCATCAAGGCAAATGGTGGCTATTTGAAGAATCTCCAATATAAAATATACTTTGATTTGTTTAACACCTTTTTGGTTATTTCATAGTTTTGATGCCTTCACTATTATTCTACAATGTAACATTTTTTACAAAATAAAGAAAAACCATTGAATGAGTTGGTGTGTCCAAACTTTTGACTGGTAGTGTTTATACAGGGGCGCAACTTTGGTTTTAGAAGTGTTGGGGACATAACTTGGTGGGGGGTCTGGGGTCCTCCCATTTTTGGGGGCATCTAAAGCTAATTTCCTGCATTTCTGCACAATCTAATATGACCCATGGCCCTTCTAGCCGTCTCTATTTAGAACAACAAAAAGTAAGCAAAAATGCCCACATTCATCAAGCTAGATAAGAGATCATTATTAAATATGTTTAAGTGATTGCTGCGACTGAACTAGATCAATAATAATTAAATAATATTGTGTTGCACCTTTTAACCAATAGCGTAACAAATTAACAACTCTTACAAATAAAGTACAAAGACTTATCTTTTGATTGTCTTTATTAAGACATCCTCTATATCAAATTTCAGCCAGACCGACCAACCAGCCAGCCCTAGCCGCCTGCACGCCCGGCCCCCACCAGTCTAGTCAATAACTCAACTCTCTCCCCGACCCCCACCAGTCTAGTCAATAACTCAACTCTCTCCCCGGCCCACACCAGTCTAGTCAATAACTCAACTCTCTCCCCGGCCCCCACCAGTCTAGTCAATAACTCAACTCTCTCCCCGGCCCACACCAGTCTAGTCAATAACTCAACTCTCTCCCCGACCCCCACCAGTCTAGTCAATAACTCAACTCTCTCCCCGGCCCCCACCAGTCTAGTCAATACCTCAACTCTCTCCCCGACCCACACCAGTCTAGTCAATAACTCAACTCTCTCCCCGGCCCCCACCAGTCTAGTCAATAACTCCACTCTCTCTCTGACCCCCACCAGTCTAGTCAATAACTCAACTCTCTCCCCGACCCCCACCAGTCTAGTCAATAATTCAACTCTCTCCCCGACCCCCACCAGTCTAGTCAATAACTCAACTCTCTCCCCGACCCCCACCAGTCTAGTCAATAACTCAACTCTCTCCCCGGCCCCCACCAGTCTAGTCAATAACTCAACTCTCTCCCCAACAACTTCCTTCCCATTTTGTTTTTATATCTCAAGGGAAAGGTTTGGAAAACAAAAGTTTAATGAAAACACACATACACCTACACATTAACACACAGAAACAGTACACCCTCCATATAATTAATATCATAGGCCTAATAGTACTGTAGAGCTCTTTTTACTTGCACACAATATATCTGGGTCACCCAGTCCTGCCCCTAGGGGTCCATGGCCCTGCAGCGCCCCAACCCAACACACCCCACTCAGCTTTAGGATCTTAGTGAAACATTCATTATTGGTTTCAGGTGTGTTAGGCCAAGGCCAGAGAGACAACCAACAGTACACCAGACCCCCAGGGCCAGGACTGAGCAGCCCAGCAGCTAGGGATTGCCTTAATAGGTATCTCCTTTGATATGGGCATGTTTTCAATACAGACTCCTTTTGACGTACAGTATTCCATATAAAGCATCCAGACCTTAACAACGATGAAAGTTGCACAGTATACCCTTAATCTTGTAATAAATCAAATCTAGTGATACATAACTTGACATTTCTGCCATCCATTGTGGGAGGATAACCAACCTTCCAGTTAATGGCAATGCATTTCTTAGCCACTATAAATGCTAGGTTACACAGTTTCTTCTGATAACAGTCTCCAGTATCAACATTTCCAACAAACAAAAACAGGGAGAAGGGAGAATCTGTAGACATGCTGAGATAAAAGAACATACTCTTTGCCAGAATTCAGCCAGCCTTCACAAGACCATAACAAGCAAATATATCCCCTTTTGTGTTTTACACCTCCAGCAGAATAATTACATTTCTGAGTGAATGATATTCAGTTTCACTGGCTTATAGTACGTTCTATGGATGGTCTTAAACTGCAGTAATTTATGTCTGAGATTATATGAACATGCTTGGGCATTCTAACATCTGTATCCATTCATCATCATCAATAGCGTCTCCCAGGTCTTCTTCACATTTTTGTTTTACAAGTTTTGTGTCATTGGGAAAAGCCTCTCAACCCTTGATACAGTTTGGAAATCAACTTTAGAGGTTGAAATAGTTTCAATCTTTGAAGCTTCTCCGAAACACAACCCAACCTAGCCGCACTGCTTCTTGACACAGTGCCCACTCAACCCGGAAGCCAGCCGCACCAGTGTGCAGGAGGAAACACCGTACACCTGGTGACTGAGTCAGCGTGCGCTGCGCCAGCCCGCCACAGGAGTCGCTAGTGCGCGACGGGACAAGGACATCCCTGCCGGCCAAACCCTCCCCTACCCTGGGCCAATTGTGCGCCACCCCATGTGTCTCCCGGTCGCGGCCGGCTGCGACAGAGCCTGGATTCGAACCAGGGTCTCTAGTGGCACAGCTAGCACTGCGATGCAGTGCCTTAGACCACTGCGCCACTCGGGAGGACCCCCCTGGCTACCTGACTCTGCTGTGACCCCTGTCACCATCTGATCCTGCTCAGATGAGACATGACAAAGAATTACCTTGGTGTACATTTATACATTATATTATCCATGAATAGAATCAATGGATCAATAATTGAAGTGACCATTATTCCCAGATCCCAGACTGTGGCCTACCCATCAACTCAAGATGGAACTTTGTATCCATTCACTGTTTGTTATAATACACTGCAAAAATTCCCCTGAGCTCCGTAGACTGGTCTTCCCTGGCTGTCTGACACTGCAGGAACACAAGTCACCATCTGATCCTGCTAAGACATGATGAGCATAGTGTTGTGTACTGACTGTGCACCATGACAGTGAAGCCTGAAGAGCTGTTCATACCGTGCCAGTGTGAAAAGTAGGGAATTAGCTAGGGAAACTGACAGATCAATAATATTACATTGATAAAAAAAAAAACGTCAAAATATCGGTCTTCAATCGTTTGGCCACTGGTTTCATCGTTTGATCCAGGTCTAGTGTGATTGAGACAAAAAATAATAGCCAGTTAGTGAGCTAGCTAGCTAGCTAATGTTAGCCAACTTTTGGCTAGCTCTAGCTAATGGTACAATGGTACATCATCAAATGT